GCTAAAATGACTGGGATGAACCCCTGCCCCACCAATATCACATACTCATATAACCCCTGCTTTAGGATTGGATCTGTTCATGAAGGGGCCGGAAATTGGGTGTAATGTGGTGATCCCAATACCATCAACCTTCCATTTGGGGATGATTTCTACCATTTATCGTGATGTTGGGGATGGTTCATGGTTTAGGGTTTGCCACATTACTCTGAAAATGGGTTGTCGTCAAAGTCAGTCAGCGGCTCGCAGGAGTTCAAATAACTCAAATAACCTAAGAACAAATACTAACCCAATGCATGAAACATCTTGAGACCGGCATGTAGAGGCCTCTGTGACCATCAACCAAGAGGGTCAACCACAGTAAGGGTGCTCTCGTCCTCTCCCCTATATGTCTAAAGTCGTTTCCTTCTGTTGTATGCAGCGAAGGCGCGTGGTTGTTGGTACCTGTGGCGTAGATATACCTTGAGAAGTGCGATTGGGGGATTGGTCTCTCAATATTTCTCAATATATAAACTAAATCCAGTTGTCCAACTGGATGAATGTCCAAGCGTGACCTTTAGTGTCAGCATCAAGTCTGGCAAGACATCAACCGGTCATGCTATGGAAGGTTCAACCGTTACCAAACACAGAGATCGGGCAACGGTGAAGACGTGAAGCAACTGACAGCCATGAAATCTCGGGCCCAGCCCGAAGAAAGGGACCAACCTCACAGGGACCCACCATACTTCGGGGTCGTGGCCTCCCACAAAATCTCCATGCCAACTGGCTCTGCAAAGTCTTCTCCCATCTCGAAGGCTGCTTCTTCGAAGTCTGTTTCCTCTGCCATGAAAGAAAATCGATGAACATGCGATCTTTTGGGTGTGTTCAAAATGACAGATGGGCCTTATCGCAATTCTGATCATAAAATCTTGGGAAATCATTGGGAATTTGGGGTGCCCATCTCAACCCCATGTCGACATCCTTTTTGGGGACGGTTTGTTGGGTTGCTGGCTTCATCCCCCGCAAAAAAAAAACAGGAAAACAGCCAAAGGACAAATTGCGATCATCATGCCAAGGGGGTATCCCAAGTAGGATGGAAGAACACATTGAATAAATATCAATGAATCGATATACTGGTTGGTGGTTTCAACCCCTCTGAGAAACATTAGTCAGTTGGGATTATCTCCTACATATGGAAAACAATAAAGGACCGGATAACCCCACATGTCAACTTCTTCCAATAATGAGCAACAAATGTTGTAGCGGGACTGGGGAGGAAGGAAAGACAAAGGAGGTGGTGAAGGATCGAGAAGTAAAAACAGTTGTGTGGGACAAAGTTGTATGTGAAAAATGGTGTGTGTGACAAAGAAAGATGGTGTGTGTAAAGATGGTATGTATGTATGTATGTATGCATGCATGCATGCAAGTATATGTATTTTTGTATGTTCATATGCATGTATGCAACAAAGACCAGCATGCCAACACCATGAGTTTAGGTGAATGGCAGTGGCCGGTCTTGGCAGCATGTGTAATGTCGCCAAGCTCTGCGCCAAGACCGTCATGAGAGCGGACGGTCTGCTGCGGTGCTTGGCGAATGTAGGAGGTTGGCGAACGAGCTGTGCAGAGGTACCTGGCAGGTCAAGCAAGTCAGACAGCAACAACACGCATGAACAACTAAATTGTGCAGTGAATCATGAGTCGTTGGTGAGCTGGCGAGGCAAGCGTTTCCGGCGCGGCAATCAAAATCAATGGCAGCTTCAGCAGACACATCGAAACACGTTCACATCGAAACACGTTCAACAGACGAGCTCGAGAACATCTTCCATGCTTGCGCACATGCAACGTCATGTGCTTTGGTTATTAGAAGCTTTTTTTTCTTCGGTGCCAAGCGCGGTATCAAAATTGTAGCCGCGACGATAGATTTTTCGCACGGCGCGTCAATCTAGTCGCGTGCACCACAGGGCCGGTAGCAGCAACGAATGGCAACACTGCAAGTTTCACTTATCTGATGTTAACAGGCGTGACTGCATGCAAGTGAAACGGCAATCGGAAACACGAAATTGAGGCAGGGTGACAGGCAGACGCAGCAATGCCAGCAAAGACCTTAGCTCGTCCGGGTCCACAGAATGAAGGCAATTAACGCAATCATACCTGAAGCTGATTGCACGTAACGTGTTATGAGCTGCCTTGAACGCTGCTTTTTCTTTAGACCTCATGGCGGCGCCCACGGCGTCAACTGGGAACCAACCCAGTGCCATAAGTGCCACGCCTGCCACGCAAAGTGGAGGCCGATGTCACCAAGTGCCACGCCTGCCACGCAAAGTGCAGGTCGATGTCACCAAGTGCCGTTGTGTGTGGAGAAGTTGCGTGTGAGTAAGTTGTGTGGTGACAAGTTGTGTGTGGACCAGTTGTGTGTGAATAAGTTGTCTGGTGATCAAATTGTGTGTGAGCAAGTTGTGTGGTGATCAAGTTGTGTGTGGTCAAGTTGTGTGTGAGCAAGTTGCGTGGTGATAAGTTGTGTGTGGACAAGTTGTGTGTAAGTCGTGTCATGACAAGTGGTGTGTGAGCAAGTTGTGTGTGAGCAAGTTGTGTGGTGACAAGTTGTGTGTGGACAAGTTGTGTGTAAGTCGTGTGATGACAAGTGGTGTGTGAGCAAGTTGTGTGTGAGGAAGTTGTGTGTGGACAAGCTGTATGAAGTGTGGCAGAATTGTGTGTGAGCAAGTTGTGTGTGGTCAAGTTGTGTGTGAGCAAGTTGTGTGGTGATCAAGTTGTGTGTGAGCAAGTTGTGTGGTGACAAGTTGTGTGTGGACAAGTTGTGTGTAAGTCGTGTGATGACAAGTGGTGTGTGAGCAAGTTGTGTGTGAGGAAGTTGTGTGTGGACAAGCTGTATGAAGTGTGGCAGAATTGTGTGTGAGCAAGTTGTGTGTGGTCAAGTTGTGTGTGAGCAAGTTGTGTGGTGATCAAGTTGTGTGTGTGGTCAAGTTGTGTGTGAGCAAGTTGTGTGGTGACAAGTTGTGTGTGGACAAGTTGTGTGTGTGTGAGTAAGTCGTGTGATGACAAGTGGTGTGTGAGCAAGTTGTGTGTGAGCAAGTTGTGTGTGGACAAGCTGTATAAAGTGTGGCAGGTGGCGGGCGGGCGAGAGGAGGAAGGCGGGAGTGCACAACCAAAAACAAGAACCCCACACAAACATGTGGGGAAAAATGTTCCAAACCACCAACCAGTATATTGTATATAGGTTATTACAAGTTATGTACCCCTTTTTTGCTATTGATATTCCCATAGTTGAGACTCAGTTGACCCCGGTCAGGTCCTCCAAGTTGGCGTTCTTGAGAACGATGGCAAGGGAGTCGGTGAACATCGTTGCCAGTGCCATCCATCTTGCCATGGCTGCCGTCATGGCTGCTTCGTTGAGTGGCCCGTGCCAGCTGCGGGCTGCGGGCTTCATAAAAACATGTCCAAAATTCTTCAAACATTCCATTGTCCGAGGAACCTCCCAAACAGGAATCAAATAAACATGACCAAACTTTTTGGAGGCGAGGACCAGTTCAAGCTCAATTTCCAAACAATAAAACAATGTCATGCAGAAATGTGATGTAGACATGTACCCATTTTTACCTGAACATTTGTACAATATGTACAGATCCAAATATCTGCATCTTCATGAAATGCATCTTCACCCCTCCGACATCCAAATGGGGATTCCTGATGGGAAGATTCCCAAAACATCCATCAAACCATGCCTCGCCGTGTCAAATATAGAACCTTTTGCCAAACCAAGAGCAGTTGGTGCAGATTGCCATTGCCATTGCCATTGCGACCATCAATTGACGTTCCGTGGTGAATCCAGCGATTCAAGCTCATGACATGCTTTGCAAATCATAACTGGGATCTAAATTTGACCAGTGTTCTTTGCAAATCATAACTGAGAACTGGGGTCTGAGATGGTCTAAGTCTAAATTAAGTTTGTTTCCAGAAATCAGAAAACAACTGAAGTTTGGCCGTTTGGGTTTCGCTGGATTCGAAACGCCACCAGTCCGGCCGGATCCGGCCGGTCAGACCCGAGGCTTCTTGGAGTCTTCGGCCTGGCGGTCAGACTAACATCGACATCTCTCATAGGATGTTCCGGTATTGTGGTGAAGCCATTTTAAGTCCAAAACAGAATGCAGCTGAACATAGCTGAAGTAAGATATCTGAGTCTATCTTTTTTCATCAACATCTCTATCAAGGCCGCAAATCTGCAAACTGCAAACTGACCGTGACAAACATTTCTCCAGCCTAAACTTCTGGTGATCAACGTGGCTTGCTGGACAATCCCCCCCTTGATGTCTTTCTAATGACAAGTCCATTTAGTTCGGGGAGTTCAATTTTTTTTGTTTGATTACAGGAGGGTAAACTTCTGCATCTACCTACAAAAATAGCTCTGCAGCCTCACCACTATTGAGACAGCTCTGCCACTTGGGTTTGTCGCAAATGATGAGACCATGGTAGATTTGGTAAATGGATGTAAATGGTAAATTTGAGAAATTCGATGGTAAATTTACATAAATTTACACCATGGTTTCAAAATTTCTTAAATTGATTGTTCCAAATTTTGAGACGCAAATTGACATAAATTGGGGGACCATCGGATCATCGCGTAGCGTTTTCCACAGACCCAACTGGGTCAGCTTGTTGCTGGAAAAGTAAACATGATGCCCACCATACTGATGGAATCTTTGTCATATTTGTTTGTCATATTCTCATATATTCTCCCAATATGATCCCAGTCTATCCCATATGACGCGACCATTTTTTGGTCCATAGCACTCAGCAGATTTGAATCCAACAGCGACAGAAGTTCTAACAGCTGGAGCCACTGTGCTCCTGAAGCAGCCAGAAATCGACGCGGAGGACGGGGGTCAGATTCTGCTTCGCTTAAAATGTCGGAATCTTCAACAAAAACCGGACTTTTACATACTCTTCACAGAGAAAAACACTGAAGAACAACTATATGATACTATATGATATATGTTTATTCAACAATGTTAACCTGCAAAACACATCATCACCACAACATGACATGAGATAACATGGCTGTGCAGTATGCCACGCTGGACCATCGACCAGTCGATGGAAGCCACGCCTATGTCACACGCCAAAATGGCTGCGTCGTAACCTGGATGGATGCCCGGATTGCTGGATTGGGACCCCGTTTTTTTCAAGCTGAAAACCACTGCAGCAACCCCCCAAAAAGATCGAACAGTGATAAATCTCAGCGTTTTACAGTTGGTTTTTCACTTACCTTGTTGGGAATGACTAAGATTCACAAGAAATTACAATGAAATGCCAAGGATTAAACGAGTCATCATGTCATCTTTTTTTTGCGTTGAAAAGCCCAAAAAACACGACGGGAGTTGAAAAACCGAGTGGCTCATGAAATTCCCAGCACCAAGTTCTGCCAGAAGTTGCAAGGTCACCTTCCAGATGCTAACCTGACAGCTGACCATAGCTGACAGCTGATAAAACCCATCCCCAAATTGCTCGGCTCGACCCAGGCCTGGCTACAGGCACGCATGGCAGCAGTCTGTGCTACCACACTTTGCAGACTGCTCTTGGTCGTTTCCCTCAAGACATGCAAGGCCTGGCGCAGCTGTGGATGGACAAGCCATCCTGCACCAGTTGATAACCATTAGATCACTATGAAACACTGCAAAACATGGGATTACAATCAGATAAACCATCTACCAGCTGGTGCAGGATTTCGCAACCATCCACAGTATGTTTGCTTGTTTATAACCCCCATTGACTAGTTTGGGATATCATGATATATCATGATATATCTACCATAAACGCCACTTATTGGAGTTGCGTCTATCAACTTAGCAAACTATGGAACTATGGCCCTGTCGGCTTGGGAGATACATTTTTATCTGGTAAATCCCATGCCATATACCATCCTAACGGGATATATTTGGAGATATAGGCAACACTATTCTTTGGGGTTCTGCAGAATTGGGGATGGGCCAGGCTTGCCGGGGCATTTCCGCTAGGTGCACAGCATATCTTTGTTTTTCGGGGCACCTGAATACAAAACCCCCAACAATGGGGTGGGTTTTTCGCCATTCATTTTCCATGGCAGGTGGTAGATTTCACCAGCCCAGCATAGCCAAGCTTTCACCTCTTTGATGGTTACAGAGAAGCCCCAAAACGATGGTTGGTTAGGGCATCCCAGGGCATGCCGGACGACTCTCCTGGAGCTATGGGCCTCTCGCCACTTGCCAGCTTTCTCGCAAGCGCTGATCGTTGCACTGTAGGTGATGATGGTTGCTTGCATGGACTGCTCCATGGCCAATGACAAGAAAGCCAATGCTTTCTGCCATTCTGCACCTTTCCTGGATCAGTGATCTCCAGTGGGGAAACCACCAGGTTTTTTCCCACCGGTTTCTCGCTTAGGGATTGCACTTAGCCTCCGGTAAAACATTGTAAATAGATAGAAAGTAGACATCAACATAATCATTATTTAGAAATCAATCAACATTTGTTTATGCTTTGATGTATTAATATATATATATATATATGTATGCGTGCGTATTTGGGCATTGGGTGCGTCGGCGGTATAGCAATGTATCGGCCGGTGTCTGGATAATTATCTCCACCAACATTCGTCTTCAGCAGCATCCCAGATTATCCCAGCTCCAACTGCTGCAAGGAACTCCAAGGCTGAAATCACGGTGTTGTAAGTGATGATATTCCCCTGAGAACAAACCACGAAAAAATGGGAGCTGGAGTCTAGTGAAGTCTAGTGGGATGGAGTTGGCCTTGTCGGGCCAAAACTGTCCGGCAACTTTCCGTGATTTTTGGGCTGGGACCTCGATCTTAGCTGGTGAGCTGGAAAAAAACCGAGGAAATAAGTCATTGCTGTGAAAATCATATCGTTGTCGCATTCACATTGTGGGGAATAGCCCAAGATTCATGGCTCCCCATCAATTGGGTGAAATTTATCCGCATTACCATCCAAAAATCGTCCAAAAAAATCATCCTATATCCTCATGAGATCCTGAACTCCTCATCTGGTTGGTGGTTGACCTACCCCTCTGAAAAATGATGGACTGAAAGTCAGTTGGGATGATGACATTCCATTCCCAATATGATGGGAAAGTCAATCCAAATTCCATGGTTCCAGTTAACACCAACCAGATATCTCAAAAAAAACATCATGAACCACTATTTTTCACCACTTTTTTTACCACTATGAAAACTGGAGTTTTTCATGGGCAATCCAAACATATCCAAAGCACCAACCAGCTCAACCGTTCGCTCGGGTTGATCACTAGATTCGACCCTTTGTTTTCGCGAAAAGTTCCACCTGGATCTTCTCTCTTCGCATCCGCTGCAGTAAGCCGAGCGCCATCCGCCATTCCTCGCGGTCCTGCACAGCGATGGAGAAGTCGGAGAAGTCTGTGGAAACCGAAGCGTTTTTGGCTAACCAAAAATGATGATATTATCGTGGGGATATACATGTATGTAACTGTCTATATACAATATAAACATAATATGTATATACATATATATATATAATTATTATATATATAATAATTATATATATAATAATTATATATATAATAATTATATATATATTATAATTATATATATAATAATTATATATATATAATAATTATTATATATATAATAATAATTATACATATATATAATAATAATTATATATATAATATAAATCAATATAATTATGTATAATATATATATATTGCCAATAAAACGAACTCCGCTCCTCCAGTAAACATACTAATAGACATGGAAAATCCAACGGAGTTATACATCATATCTACGTTACTGGAAGATCTGGAAGGTACACGAACTGCAGCCCCCCAAATTTCTAAACCTTTTGAACAGAAACGAATTTATAGCCATATTCAATAGGAAATCATAGGAACAGATCATCTTCCTCCGAATCCATCAAAATCCATTTAAAAAAAAACATAAAAATCCATGAAAATCCCCTATTTTCTCAGCTGTTTTTGTAGAACACTTGACATCACTGCAGCTTTATTTCCTTCACTTTTCCCTGGATTATCCTTTTAGCGCTCGTCCTCACACGCACTGATCGCTGAATTGAAGCTATAGACATCCCGAGTCTTCATGCTCCTGATCCAGACTCCGATCCGACAGCTGGAGGGATTGTCTTTTAGCGGCTGAGTTTTAATGGTAATATCTCCACCAATTACTGTAACAAAAATAGTGATGGTCAAAGAATGTAAAATATCTATCTATGTGTATGCTATACCATGACACATCTCTTCAATTGGCTGAATTGGATATTCATTTCGATGTCAGTTGGGCGCCCTGAGCGTGGAGAACACACGATTTGAGGATCCATTTGCGTTGGAATGCAATGTTTTTTTTTCACCATCAACCTCCACTTCAACTTGGGGCAATCTCAGCCTAGCCCAGTCCATAGAGGTTTTCTACTATGGTAATACTTACCCCAGTCCATAGAGGTTTTCTACTATCCCCCTGAAAACTACATCCCCATTTCTGTCCCAGTCCTCAAATATCTGGGAACTCATCCCCTACTTATGGCAACTCGTTGGGGTGGATTTCATTACCGCGAGCCAGGACCTAGCTATGTTGGCTGGGGTCGGCAGATTATATCTTTATCTATATCTATATATATATACATATATATATATCATATTATATTTTATATGTTCTAAATATATTGTATGTATATATCAATTATTAATTGTATATGTTATTTTATTATATACATATTATACATATGATATATTCTATACACACATTGTATTATCATATATTCAGTTGATTTCCGTGCTGCCTCTCCCGCCGCGCCGCGTCCTTAGTAGCTCACCAGCTTTCTGCCATTGGCCACTGCGAGCTAAGGCGGATAGACAAGCATTGCAGGCCACCAAGTCGGCTGAGTCTGAAAGATCATCCAGTAGATCCAAAGCCTGCAGCACAAAAACCGGGTGGAACTCTGGAAATATCTGGGGAATGCCCATAATGAAAGGGGCCCCGGAGGGCCCTTTTTGATGTCATGTACAAGAGCGAACATATGGAAGTTTCTGGAGCATTTCAATGGATCGGCTTGAAGGAACATCGGAAACCCGGAAACCCGGAAGCCCGTGTTTCTACTCCCAAATGATTGGGGCTTCCGGCTGACCCAGATGAACCCTCGATTTGGATCATAATTTCGGGTGGCAAAAAACATGAACCCACCAAGCAAAAAATGTGTATTACCCTCTGGTAAACTAACAGTTTGCTATGACAAATCACCGTTTTTCATAGGTAAATCAACTGTAAATGACCATTTTCAATACCTATGTGCCTATGTATTCTTGAAAATTACCAGAGGATTCACCATTCTTCACCACCACCAACAGTGTTGGGGGAGCCCCTTCCCCTCGCCTGCTGCCATTGGCGCCCCTCCTCACATGCCCCGATGGCTGCACTGTAGACCATGACGTTTCCTGCTGGCATCCGAAATATTGTGACACTGAACATCTTTACAGATATTTCATGGCGTATTTTTGGGACGTTGGTATAATATATATATATATATATTGGATATTCATGGGATAGTTATCGGATATTTCTTGGATGTCTATGAGATATTTATGGGGATAGTTGTTAGATATTTAGAGGATGGATGGGGATGGACACAGATTGATAGGTCTGATAGGTAAACATCAATACAAAACTCTGTCACATTACACAAGCAATGGAGCTAGAGGGGTGCCAAACCAAGTAAATGTGCATTGATTTCTCATTCCCAAGCTCAAGCTGTTCTTTTCTGAAAAATTGCCACCTGTCCTTTTTCAGAACCAAAGATGTGTCAGGGTTGAGGCCAAAGATGCGTAGCTTGTACGTAGTAAAACACCGCTTTCACTCTATTTGTATCTCGGAAGTCTCCCAAGTGCATACCTCCACTGTTCTTGCAACCAAAAAAGTACATTTGATTGGTTGGGAAAAGTCACCATCTTTCGAAACAACCAATTCACCTCTGGCTCGCATTCAAACATATTCAAACCATCTGAAAAAGATTGATCGTGAGATATCGTGAGACTGGGATGATCGTTAAAAGGAAAAAATCAACCAGGTCGCTTGTAGCATCCCCAACTATCAGGGTTGCTCCCCACACCCCAGAATCAAGGGGGGGCAAATTGGCTAAAGACGTCACATCACAATTTTTTTCCCCTGGTTCTCATATGCCTAGAACGGCTACAATAGGTTGGAACATCCTTCATTGTAGCGGTTTAACCACCCCTCATGTTGGCTGCACGGAAGGTGAGCTCCTCTCATCTTTCTCCTCGCAAGATCTTCCAGTAACTGCAAAGACCATTGCCACCTGGCCGCGTTAATGTGGGCGACCTAATGCCATAAACCCTGTTCTTTGGGGAAGGCAGAAGACTTCAATCTTAGCCTGGCAGATTTTAAGAAACCCAACCTCCAGTGCCATTTTGTTCAACCTCTCCCACCTGCTCTGACAGGCGGTGATGGCTGCCCTGGAGGTGAAGAGACTCAACTGCATCTGCTGCTGATCCATGTCCTGTTGAGATGCTGCCGGGAATCTTCCCATAGTTCCAAACCGACCCAGCGCACGATTCCCAATAAAACCACTCTGCCCTCCATTTACTTCGGCCATGTTCCAGAAATCCAACACTCCAGGGGCCGTGGTGCAGAAACAGTGATTTCCATGAATTCCTGCCCCTCTGGCAGTCCAACCAAGCTGCTGGAACCCCTGGTGATATAGTCCCCCACAAAATGATATCTATATTAAGTCTATATTGATCCATAGCCATATGTCCATTTGCTTTTCATGACCTTCAGATTCAAAAATTATCTTAGCCATGTTTTCACTTTTCATTTCAAATCATCTTTTAAATCTCAACATTTTATCATTTGATCATATATTTTCATGATGTTTCCCTGTCAGGTCTTCTCCTGTCAGGTTTTTCCCAGCCATTTCCGCTATCCAGCACTCGACCTGCAGTAGATCCAGCACTCGCTGCCAGCGACGCTCGACGCTGATCATCAGATTCTGACTTATCGTGTCCGCCTCAGCTGCTGGTGGTTGAGCCATGAATCAAGATGAGGATGTCAGGATGTCCCAAAAAACGATATATCTATAATGATATCTCCTGATATTTCCTACAAATAATATCAAACTATACAAAAAAAAAATAGTCAAATATGTCCGAGAATCAAGTGGTTGGTGGTGAACCAAACCCAGACAAAACAAATAGAGGTGATTAGGAATTTACCATACTATTTGTAGACATGCCCAACTTGAACAACATTGGAAACCACCACCTTGGCTATATATTGGTTACACCCCATTGCTTTTGATTTTGTATCAGTACAAAAATCAAGGCCTGTCAAGTTAAGATAAAACATGAAAAACCCCCAAATGACCATATATTTGTGTAAATCTATCTATCTATCCATCCATCCATCCATCCATCCATCCATATGTATATATATATACACGGTATTTATCACATATATATATAGATATATTTGTTCCCAGCAATTGTCAAGGGCAAAGCTGGGTCGTCCCCTATCCGTTGTGAAGGTTTTTGCTCCTCGATAACATCTAGTAGAAAATGCTGATCGTTGTACTATTAAAAGTAGAAGAAGAAGTAGTAGCAGTAGTAGTAGTAGTAGCAGTAGTTAGTAGTTAGTAGTTAGTAGTTAGTAGTTAGTAATTAGTAGTTAGTAGCTAGTAGTTAGTAGCTAGTAGTTAGTAGTTAGTAGTTAGTAGTTAGTAGTGGGTAGTGGGTAGTCGGTAGTAGGTAGTAGGTAGTAGGTAGTGGGTAGTGGGTAGTGGGTAGTAGGTAGTTACATTAGTTACAGTAGTTATAAGTACAAGTATAAGTAAAAGTATAAGTAAAAGTAAAAGTAAAAGTATAAGTAGTAGTAGTAGTTAGTAGTAGTAGTAGTAGTAGTAGTAGTAGTAGTAGTAGTAGTAGTAGTAGTCGTAGTCGTAGTAGTAGTAGTGGTAGTGGTAGTGGTAGTGGTAGTGGTAGTGGTAGTGGTAGCAGCAGCAGCAGCAGCAGCAGCAGGAGTAGGGAGTAGCAGGAGTAGTAGGAGTAGTCGGAGTAGTAGGAGTAGTAGGAGTAGTAATAGTAGTAATAGTAGTAGTAGTAGTAGTAGTAGTAGTGGTAGTAGTAGTAGTAGGAGAAGCGGTAGCAGTAAGAGTAGTACATGGGGCACAGTCTCGGCAAGTGAGAATAAGCGCAAAAATGGGTATCGGTGAGAATGGTGTGTGAATCACCGCAAACAAAATGTTTGGTGCTCTCCAAGAGAAAGCTAACTGAGGTAGCCGTTTACAGCCCTGTTTGTAGCCGTTGCTGTAGAAAAAACATGAAAAAACGCGCCCTACTCCATATTATTGTGGGAACGTGCTGGAATCTAGGGGTATCGGTGCTGGGTCGTCCCCTGTCGGTTGTGAAGGTTTCATGAAGGCAAGCAAAGTTCAAGGCAACTCTCTACTTTCAAATCATCCATCCATCCATCCATCCATCCATCCATATCTATCCATATCTATCCATATCTATCCATATCTATCCATATCTATCCATATCTATCCATATCTATCCATATCTATCCATATCTATCCATATCTATCCATATCTATCCATATCTATCCATATCTATCCATATCTATCCATATCTATCCATATCTATATATATATATCTATATATATCTATATATATATATAGATAGATAGATAGATAGTACCCTAGTACCCCAGGTCAAATTTTGCTCTGCTTTCATGCTGGCATCCCGTGGCCTCAAGACTTCTGCATTTCAAGGCCGTCAGCAGATCCAGAACCTGGGCATATTTGGGAGCTGCGACCCATGGGATGTCGAATCACCATGAATATCCCATGAATTCCCATGAATTCCCAGTAGATATATCTAATTATCTAGATATATCTGCTATATATCTGGGATAATCACCATATCCCATGAATTCCCATAAGAATTAGCATGATATTTTTCTACTAAGATGGGACGATATATCATGATAATTCATGATCATATCTGAAAGAATCTCATAAATTCTTATCCCATCCCAGAAAAATCACATTCGTGTTCTGATTTTCATAACATCGTGATTGGATGCATTTCTGAAATATGTGGTCATTGTTGATTGTTATTAATGATCATTGGACTGCTGGCAGATGCTGGCAGAAAAAAAACAAAAGATCCCGTCGTGCCCACATGACATCTTGCACGGACATGGCCTTCTTCTGATGTGAACATGATCAGCATACCGGGGATGATCTGATTCTAACGGATGTTCCAGCGTGAAAAGTACGGCCAAATTGAAGGTCAAACGGCCATGTGGAGTTTTCCAAAGTCATGTACCCCCAAATCGTCCCAGTCATTCGACCATTTTAATATTGAAACCCATGGTTTTTCAGTGGGGTGCCCCCATTAAAAAGGAAACCCCCATGGCTCCATCGTCATCCAGAATGGAACACCTACGCAGCAGCTTAGCAGCTTGTTGCCACTGCTCGGCTTTGCTACACACGCTCATCACCTCAACTCTGCAGATTTCAAGACGAAGAACGCACTGTGACTCTTGGGACAGAGATCATCAAAGATCCACTGCAACTAAATAACATAATAATATATAGTTATTCCAAAACCTAATAAAACATAATTTCAAATCATTCATAATGATTGGAATGTTGGTCCATTAAAGGGACAATACATAATTCCAATATATTCCAATCATTCCAAGACACAGAATTGTACACAATCACATTCATTTCCAGCAAGGAATTCACCATGCTAGCCAGCAAATGTACGGCCAGAGCCCAGCATGATGCCTGCACCAATTGATGATGTTCACTCTGACACAAGAGATGGATAGATATGGATATGGATAGATATTGATAGATACTCTATGATAATGATGATTGGTATAGTCAGTCTCTGATATGGGGTGTTCCAAAGACCGGAAAACTCCATGTGAATTCTTCGAACATTTTCCAAATCCAGCCATGCGTTAGTAGCTGTCCTTTGCCAACATCTCCACCATCATCATATGAGCAGTGTTCAAAACCCCTGTTGGTTGATGATTATAGGGGATTATGATTATACTACCAAAAAAATTGGGATTACAATATATTACAATCATCCAAGAACGGAGAATCCCTATTAACCAATGAGCCAACCAGGATTCAATGGCATAACAGAGGGCTAATAGCCACACTGCTGACCTTTGGAAGAACTTTTTTCAGGATCTTCCGAGCCAGATAAACCAGACGGGTCAAAAACTTAGGCACCCCAAGAAATGGACAAGTACTATAGAATCAATATAGTACTATAGAATATAGAGTTAATTTTTGGAATATACTGTAACTAAAACAATCTAAAACACAATGACCCTTTAGCCCCTTTCACCTGTGGTCCCTATTGTGACCCATCCGCAGTTCGGATACAAAAATTGCTATTGGAATTGGTGCTGTCCACGACGTGCCTTCTCGAAGACATTTGCCATGACCCCATAGCCTGGGTTTCCGCTGGATGTGCAAAACAACGGCTCCCCTTGTAATGATGGATCCGTCAGACACCCGAACCAACCGTTATTTATTTACTTTCGTTAAAATCAGTTATATAATTGATCAATGAATCAATGAAAATTAATTGATTTATTCGTTTATTTACATAGAATCTATAGGGGATCAACCATTGTATAAAAAAAAAGGTAACACGTATGCTCAGTACTCGGGAAAAATCGATCAAAATTGAGCATTTGACCTGGTATTTACAGTGTTTTGTGTGTATCATCATTTCAGGCCCCGAAGTGCAAAAGTACGAAAAACTTTCTTTTTCATCCAGAGCAGCTTGGTTTTCTAGTCTTTCTGGTTATGTCGGTACACGAACTGGTATATGTGTGCAAGTGCAAGAGCAACGTGCAGTAGCGTAGCATGACGTGTGTGTGCAAGTGCAAGAGCAACGTGCAGTAGCGTAGCATGACGTGTGTGTGCAAGTGCAAGAGCAACGTGCAATAGGGTAGCATGACGTGTGTGTGCAAGTGCAAGAGCAACGTGCAGTAGCGTAGCATGACGTGTGTGTGCAAGTGCAAGAGCAACGTGCAGTAGCGTAGCATGATGTGTGTGTGCAAGTGCAAGAGCAACGTGCAGTAGCGTAGCATGACGTGTGTGTGTGCGCAAGTGCAAGAGCAACGTGCAATAGCGTAGCATGACGTGTGTGTGCAAGTGCAAGAGCAACGTGCAGTAGGGTAGCATGACGTGTGTCTGCAAGTGCAAGAGCAACGTGCAGTAGGGTAGCATGACGTGTGTCTGCAAGTGCAAGAGCAACGTGCAGTAGCGTAGCATGACGTGTGTGTAGAAGTGTACTTGAACGTTATCAGCCCCCCCACCCCACCCCACCCCAACCCAACGTTGCATGACGTGTGTGTGCAAGTGCCAGAGCACGTGCAGTAGCGTAGCATGACGTGTGTGTGCAAGTGCAAGAGCAACGTGCAGTAGCGTAGCATGACGTGCACGTGCAGTAGCGTAGCATGACGTGTGTGTAGAAGTGTACTTGAACGTTATCAGCCCCCCACCCCACCCCACCCCAACGTTGCATGACGTGTGTGTGCAAGTGCAAGAGCAACGTGCAGTAGCGTAGCATGACGTGTGTGTGCAAGTGCAAGAGCAACGTGCAGTACGTAGCATGACGTGTGTGTGCAAGTGCAAGAGCAACGTGCAGTAGCGTAGCATGACGTGTGTGTAGAAGTGTACTTGAACGTTATCAGCCCCCCTCACCCCACCCCACCTCACCCCACCCCACCCATCAAAAACGTGCACCGTTACCGAGTACCGAGAGTACGTGACACCAAAAACATCTAGCTTCCCCGAATAGGATCCACAAAAGGATAAATGATGGATCTCATGTGGATCTCATGTGGATTTCGGCAAAATGACCCAAAAAAATCACGTCCAAATCAGCTTCAACACAGCCAGGGTAGCCAGGGTAGCCAGGTCGCTCATCGCAGTGGCTGGGACCTCCATGGCGTTGAAGGTCTGTAGAGCCACCAGCCATGACCTCCCCATTTCGTTCAGGGATTTTCCAGCCACATTCGAAGACAGGCATATTTCCAAACAAAAGACATGATTTTTTGAGGCCGGATCCGATGTTCAATGAATTCTTTGCAAAGATATTTCTGTGAGGTGTCCAAGGATGTTCGAATCGTGAGGTTTCCGTATATGTCCGCTGCGATACAGAACACATCAGTCAAAGCGTTCACAAAGCAGGGAAGAAAATGTAAGGAAACTCCAAAACCTTTTGAATGCCCAACCACATGGCCACTGACCAGCTGTAAGTTGGGTCATAACATGTCACAACCACTTTGCCTTCTACCCCGAGAGAGGTCGCACTCAATTTGACTGGAAATTGGACCAACTCGAATTGCTGCTTGACACAGAAATTGACTGTCGAGCAAAACAAAATGCTTGCAGGGGGACTGTCCACAAGATCCTCAAGCAGGTCTATGTGTATGTCATTTTTTTCGTTTGCTTTCAAAATCAACCATGGGTATTCCTGCCATCTTGAATTCTTTGTGCCGCAGATGTCTCCCACCCTGAAAAAAACTATAAGATGGCAGGTTGCAGCGAAGATACTCGCAAACCTTGATGGCTGAATTGTAGCCTCAGTTTGACAACTGGGGTTGAGACCCCTAATTTTGTTCATAAAAGAATAAGATACAATACAACATACATGTATAGACATCATCCTTATGTACATGAAAATTACATATGAATGTTGAATATATTTGAATATATTGCACAGAATTGTGCTGTACACATCAAGACGCTTTCTTGATTGTCCCACCTTCTCCTTCTGATCTTCTCGCCTTCCCATTAAAAAAGACGAAGAAAACGAGCTGCTAATCGCGTCTGCTTGTTGCTGCTCCTGCTGAAGTCGTAGTAACAAATGCAGCGCCTCAGGGACGCACTGGCCAATCAAAAGCGCGTAGCACATAGACCATAATGCACGGTGTAAACTGCAGAGTGCACCAGCACCAGCACCAGCACCAGCACCAGCATCATCCTCATCATCATCAGCAGCAGCAGCATCCTCATCCTCATCCACATCATCATCATTATCATCATCATCATCAACAACAACAACATCATTAGCATCACCATCATGATGTCGTCATCATCATCATCATCAACATCATCATCATCATGTCATCATCATCACCATCACCATCACCATCACCATCACCATCATCACCATCATCATCATCATCATTTTCATCATCATCGTCATCATCATCATCATCACCACCATCCTCATCATCCTCATCATCATCATCATCCTCATCATCATCATCATCAGCAGCAGCATCATCATCCTCATCCTCATCCACATCCTCATCATCCTCATCCTCATCAGTATCAGCAGCAGCATCATCATCATCATCAGCAGCAGCATCATCCTCCCCCTCAACCTCATCATCCTCGTCCTCATCATCCTCATCCTCATCATCATCACCATCATCACCAGCAGCAGTAGCATCCTCATCATCATCATCCTCATCCTTATCAGCATCAGCAGCAGCAGCAGCATCATCTTCATCCTCATCTTCATCATGATCATCATCATCAGCAGCAGCATCCTCATCCGCATCCTCATCCTCATCCTCATCCGTCCCTCATCCCACGTCCTAGTCATCCTTAAAATTCCTTAAGCATCCTTATTATTTTTCTAAATTCCTTTGATGTCTCCCCCCTTGCCTTGGGCCAATGGCAGGTGGGAACCGCACTGATTGCTCCGTTGATGCTGATGACGTCCCGACGTAGCCGCCATGTCGTGGACGTCTCCGCCAGCCTCGGGACGAGGCTCGCCACAGGGGATCAACCAATAGGAGAAATAGGAGATATATGAGGAGCATGGGGATATTTCAGAGGGGTAGGTCAACCACCAACCAGGTATGTATGTGTATATATATATATGGGTAAATTATAATAATTCACCAACCTGAATTAAGGCCATTTGGGGATGATTTCCCTTAATTACTAACCATGATTCCAGTGAGGTCACGGTGAGGTCGTTGTAATTTACCCAGATATATATAATATAAGGTAACTACATTTAAATATACGAACTGGTATGAATCATACTACCTCCGGGGCCTCGCGGTCTGGCCCGCCCTCCACATATTTAAATGTCGTTACCGTATAATTTATATATATATACCCTCTGGTTATGACTAACATAGTCATGGTATAGATGGCCCATAGAAATAGGTGGTCTACCGAACTTAAAAATGGGTGGATCTTTCCATGGCGAACTGTTAAATAACCACATGGTAACCACTCTGGTATGGGAAAACATCAAACCCTCTGGTGAAAACCAGTTTGCTATGAAAATTATGAAAATCTAATTCTGAAAAATCTTGTGATTACGGTAAATCATCGATAAGTGGGCCACTTTCCATCGAACATGTGGGCCGCTTCCTGGAGGGTCTACTTCATTGGATCCACAACGTCCCAGCCAGTCATTCCATCCACATCCCCTGAATCTTCTCTCAGTTCATTGCACCTACAAATCCAACAATCCTCAACTGCTCACCGGAATAATTGCAGGTTTTTTGTACCATTTCACCATTTCAGGATCTCCCCCTGAAGCCCCTGGAGCTTGATTAGAGACGATCCTGCCGAGCAGCAAAGCCATAGCCCTTGACCATTCCTCTCCTTTCTCACAGGCACTGATGGCAGAGTTGGCGATGATGATATTCCTGCCATGGCAACGGGACTTCAACCGCAAGATGGCACTATTCAATACCTCAAAACCTTACCCCCTGGCAAACCAACATGGCACTGGAAACATTCATCACATCCCCCGTTATCATGAACAATTTTATCTACAGACGAATTTCCGCCATATTTCTTCAACTGGAGGATACATCAATGTACATTATAATATCACAATATCACACCACAAAACACCACACAAAAAACCATCTGCGTTTTAACGTCGTGAACTTTTCTGTGTTTTAAAATCCAATCACCTAAGTCACCTAAGTCAAGAAAAACAATTGGTTGTTGCTCCAGTTACCCTCTGGTAATGACTAACAGTTTGCTATTGAAAATGGCCATAGAAATAGTGAGTTTTCCCATTAAAAATGGTGATTTTCCATAGTTTTTTTGTATGTTTACCAGAGGGTACATCCCATCCAAGTGTCGTCTCCAGAGCTTGCCAAGCCATTTTTTCTGTGAGGTCTAAGGCAGAGCTCCATTGAGATCGGCGTCCGTGCGCAGCCACCGCCTGGCGAAAAGGGCCATGCTTGGTGATAGATATCCATCACCAAAAAGGGAATTGCGGTGAGATACTGATGATTACTGGAGTTAGTTCGTGAACTATGGCAACTATGGGTAATGAAGATTGTTCGTGGGTTCTATCAAGTATACAAGTTATAATCTACTGACCAATTAGCTAATCCCATGGCTAGTCTAAGCAGGGAAGCTGAGGTTTCTTTTTGTGACTCATGTGACAGGGAAACACGACTCGATTTTTTCGACTTTGAAGGAAATGCATGCTTCACAGCATACAACTACATTCCAATTCACGTCTGTCTAAAACGTGCGCACCTTGCCATACGCCACGCATGCCTCCATTTGGCCCCCTTCGTTTTCGATCCAAAACAGCAGCGCAAATGATGCTGGTTGATGTTAATCTCTCGTGTGAAGTGATATTTTCCACCAGTCATCTGGTTGTCCGGTGCAGTGATCGCAACGTGCTCACCAGACGAAACACCAACCATTCCACAAAAGACTGTCATGGATGTGTTGTTTCGCCAAATGGTCAAACACTCGTGTACCCCTAAATTGGAGCATGACAATGGGACATACCATGACATGTCCAAGTTTTTCAGTTGTTGGAATACATACATATATATATATACAATTATATATATTGTTTGATATCGCATTGTACAGTATGATACAATGTCCCCCGTAAGAAAATCCTTTCTTTGAATCATCGTTCCATAGTTCGTTGTAGTAATATGGTCAAATGATCCAGTTGTATCCAATTATAATGTGCCCTATTCATATCTTTAATGTTCCCCTAAGCTTTTATCCATTGGCCAGTCCATGCGCCTCCTGTTGAGCCTTTCGTTTGAAGAAAGCTTCTTTGGCCTCACCATAGGCCTGCCAGAAAGATCACTGATGATCACGGTGCATCCAGAAAACCCCCAGAACAAGAATACATATTGTATGACAGGGAACACTACTTACTAAAGACTAAACTGACTAAGCTACATACTAAAGATATCTAAAGATCTTGGCACATAAGCTGGAATCGTGGAACCATCATGGAATGCTGTGGATATCCCACAGCCGCAGTGATCTTCTTTCTATCCTTCAATATCTACATCAAGTGTTAACTAAGATCTAACCTTGCTGCAGATCCAACCACAATATTTATATCATATCCCCAACCCATAGCCGCCCTTACGCACCAATATGGGGGTTTCCTGAAATAGGGGTACCACTAAATCATCCATTTTGTTTTCAGATTTTACACTTTCTTCACCATCCATTTGGGGTACCACCATTTATGGAGACGCGCATTAATATGTCCCATATTTTCCCATATGTTTATGGCAAAATACGATGAAATTGGAGGATTTTTTTCAGGGGGTAGCACCATTTTAGGAAACCTCCATTCCAATGGTAGGTACCTCCAAGAGATCTCCTTAAAACGTGACCACCATCTTCGGTCCTCTCGAAAGGCTTTTCCTTTGGCCACCAGTCGATACACCTCATCCGTCACATAGAGGTCCTCACAGCGCTTTGTTGGGAAAATATGGGACATATATGGGAAAATATGGGAAAACATGGGACATATATTATTGTTATTGGAGACTTTCTAGAAAGGGGACTTCAACTGGTTAATAAAAACTACTGGTTGGTGGTTGAGCCACCAACCCCTCTGAAAAATATTATGAGTTCGTCAGTTGGGATGATGACATTCCCAATATATGGAAAAATAAAACATGTTCCAAACCACCAACCAGACTATGATTTTATATCTACAACTTCTACAACACTTTGTATCCCTAAGTTTGGAGACTTTACTATGTTTTTTATACTGAAAGATAACAACGTCGGTTCCAAGATAACAAAAATAACACTGGACACCAACTATCTGTTAATACTGAAAAGTTCAAAACCACTTCATTGTCTGGGAAAACACCTCACTGTGGTTTCCAGTTTTTTCACGCTACCCTGGGGATCACTGGGGTTGATCAGAGATTCTCAGGACTTCAACCTGGATCATGATGCGGTTTTTGACGCATATGAAGCGATTGAAGTGGCCACATGTTTGGGGCCAAATCGCCAAATCTCAGCCTTGACTAACCCATTCCTGCCAGATCACCATTTCTTCAAGCTACATTTCCTCATTCCAGTTTGCGATTCACGTGCCATGATTTAGTTTGCTACCCGCTAAACAGCTATGGAAACCAAAAAAAAAGATCCCATGCGTTCCATTTGTGAATTTTCCCAGCTGTCCCATTCCCATGGGTTTTCTCCATGGAAATGTCCCATTTTTGTCACATTTTCCTCCAGCTTTTTCTCATCCCTGGTTCCAGGCCATCATCCCTCGCCTCGGTCATGGCAGCCTTGAGCTTCTCTTCGCGGACCTGCAATGCAGGGATCACCTGCAGCGATGTCGTGGGCTGAGATGATGTGAAATTCATTGGGCTGAGATATCTTACCCTCTGGTAATTTAAGGTAAGAGACCCCTCTGGTACGTACCCTTTTGGGTATGCCATAGGGGTATGAAATTAGCATAATATGCTTGGAAAATGCCTTATACACGTGGTAAAAGTTTCAGTTCGAGAATGCTTTGCAATCTTAGCTCAAGTTCGCTTGGGTTCCCGCTGCAATGAAGCAAATGAAGCGCAGGAAGCGCCATGCAGTTAAGAAAACAATCAAAAAGGGGAAGGTTGCCCACACGTGGAGGCCGAAAAAGGGAAAGCGACGAGCTGCACTAGCGCCAATCCGGAGGCGGCAAAAGGCTTTAGTTGTGAACTACGTGCCATCAGAGCAAGCTGTGAACCAAGGTAGACGGTCTTTGCGCACGCAGAAGTGGACTGTTGATGCTTTGAAGCTGGGATGCATGAAGGAAAGTGACATGAAGTCTTTCCTGGTTGGCCAGAAGCTAGCTCGGGACTGGACAGACAAGACCTGCCCATGGTGCAAGCAGTCCAAGTTGAAGAAGGAAAAGTCACAGTGGCAGTGGTTCTATTGCTCCAAGAAGAATTGCCGTCGCCGAACACACTGGCTTCACAACCACCCCTTCTTCAGCTATGCTGGCAAGTCCGCAGACCTTCGACCTCAAAGCCTGGCGCTTTTGTGCCAGTGCTTAGAGATCCCAGCAGGAGTTGCCCACATGCTGACTGGATTGAACCACAAAGCCGTTGAAAGACTCTACGGTGGCTGGAGAAAACTGACTGCGTGGGATAGCAAGACAACTCAGAAAACAGTAGAGTTTGGAGATGCGAAAAGCTGGACGCAGGGAGAGGCAGATGAGATCAGTTTGAGAGCTCACGCAACAGGTGGCAAAAAGAAGTGGCTACGCTATTTGCTCATTCTGACCCGTGGTGACAGATCTCAGAGTGTGTTGCACCGTCTAGAAGATCGAGTGGTCAAAGGCAAAGGACAAGGAGGAGGTGGCTCGATCTCCAAGACAGAGTGGTCCAAGTTTGGCAATCTGAACCTACGAGATCGGAAATTCCTGTTGTTCACAGATGCCGCGAAAGCATACAGAACAGTCAAGATTCCTGGTGTGAAAAATTTCCACATTTGCCATAGTGCAAGGAAGCCTGGGCAAAAGGCCCAATACTCCAAAACCGTCACAGTCAAGGTGCCAAGATCCATGGAACAAGTTCATAAACCCAAGAAGAAGTGGACTCGTGTGCAGAAAATCAAATGCAAGTTGGGGTCCCAGCTGGCAGACAACTTCTTCAAGCATTTGCGAAAGTCAATTCTCACAACCACAAAGAACTGTAATTCCTCAATTCTGGATGGTTACGTGCACTCTTTCCGTTGGCGCCACACCAGATGGGATAAGGACATATGGGCAGCTACAGCAGAAGCTGTGCAACGTTGGTATGGTGATTGACATGGCGAATGGTGATGGAAAAAGAGCTTGTGAGTAGACCAGCCGGTGTTTCAGACAAGATGCGTTTGAATCATGGATATCGTTGTTTTGTCATATGATGTTATATGTTGTATAGGTATTGAAAATGTTCAGTCATTGAATGTCATTAGCATTGTTTATATTATGTTTTGTATTGTTGTTTTGAAATTTGATGTGATGTCCTTTAGGTGTCCATGAATGTTCTGGTACGCGGGATTGGGGTCTCTTAGCTAATTTAACATAGCTATTGAAAATTGTTCATTTATAGTTGATTTACCTATTAAAAATGTTGAATTACCATAGCTATGTTAAATTACCAGAGGGTATCAAATTTGGAAAGTATACAATGCTCTGTCAGAGGGTACGGTACATAGGGTACAGGGGTACGCACATGTGGTACTCAATCTGTTTTATCTAAATAAGTCATGTCTACTCAGTATTATCTACTAATATCCAATAATGAATATCCAATAATTAATGCTCAAAATCCAATAGTTAAGATCCAACAATGAATATCTACTAATAATCTGTCTAGCATCATCATTCATAATCCAATCCAACAATTGATAACATGGCAATACAGTATGGTCATATGGCAATATGGTAATATGGGAATTATACAAGAATATCTAACAATCTACCAGGTGAATGATGGATATGAACAGCTCTTAAATTGTCTATTAATTTGGGTTATATCTAGATCATATCCTATATTATGTTTCTATCTGTTTATGTAATCATATCTATAGGAATCCTCCAAAAGATAGAAGGTGTTAGAATCCAAATCAGTTTAATTGTTAGTGATAAATGACATGTATCTATCTTTTTGAGGTGTCCCCTATAGTGCATCATGACATCTAATCCAATCCATTCCAATCAAATCTAATGTATCAACCTAGAAACTGCAGATATATAGATATGTCGGGAATATATCCAAGCTATTTCACTCGTGATGGCTCTTTGATGATGATGATGATGATGATGATGATGATGATGATCATGATGATCATGATGATGATCATGATGATGATGATGATGATCATGATGATGATGATGATGATGATGATGGTCATGATGGTCATGATGGTCATGATGGTCATGATGACGATGATGACGATGATGACGATGATGACGATGATGACGATGAGGACGATGAGGACGATGAGGACGATGAGGACGATGAGGACGATGAGGACGATGAGGACGATAAGGACGATGAGGACGGTGAGGACGGTGAGGACGATGAGGATGATGAGGATGATGAGGATGATGAGGATGATGAGGATGATGAGGATGATGAGGATGATGAGGATGATGAGGATGATGAGGATGATGAGGATGATGAGGATGATGAGGATGATGAGGATGATGAGGATGCTGAGGATGATGAGGATGATGAGGATGATGAGGATGATGTGGATGATGAGGATGATGAGGATGATAAGGATGATGAGGATGATGAGGATGATGATAATGATGATAAATATCCGCATTGATATCTATATCTATGTATCTATGTATCTATGTATCTATGTATCTATGTATCTATGTATCTATGTATCTATCTATCTATCTATGTATGTATCTATGTATCTATGTATCTATATCTATCTATCTATCTATCTATCTATCTATCTATCTATCTATCTATCTATCTATCTATCTATCTATCTATGCATGCATGTATGTATGCATGTATGTATGCATGTATGCATGTATGCATGTATGTATGTATGCATGTATGTAACGTATGTAACGTATGTAACGTATGTAACGTATGTAACGTATGTAACGTATGTAACGTATGTAACGTATGTAACGTATGTAACGTATGTAACGTATGTAATGTATGAAATGTATGTAATGTAATGTAATGTAATGTTATGTTATGTATGTATGTATGCATGTATGTATGTATGCATGCATGTATGTATGTACATCACAGATCACACTACAAACAAACCGCAGCAATCGCGATGTCGTAAGCATCCACAATTGCATTACAAAACAAGAAAAGAAACATCATGACATCGCCGCATTTCTAGACATTTTTGGGTTGTTCCCCCTCCTACGCTATGATCATTGGCGTTTCGTCACTGTACTTTGTGATATGCCCAGGACATCCCAAGGATATCTGGAACACCTCCTTCAGCAAGCCCAGTGTGCTGGTCGCCAGCTGACCTGATTTGAAGTCGAAACCACAACTGAAACTCAGGCTGCTTGAAACTATGGAGGATCGAGGATCACCCCAACTGAGACGACACAGCTCCATTCTTGGTCTTCCAACAAGCTTCGATAAAGGCCTTCTTGGTACATTGCAAGTCGCGATGATAACCGCTGCCTAAGCCCACAATGGTCTCCTGTTTCGGGCTTTCGCAGTCCGAAAAATGTCAGCCTTAATTACCCTCTGGTAAACTAACATTTTGCTATTGAAAATGACAATTTTTAATGGGAAAACTCACTATAAATGGTCATTTTCAATAGCTATGTTAAATTACCAGAGGGTATGTTGGAATACCATGGAACATCTATGACCCAAATACCGACCCATGCAGTACCCTACCATAAGCTTCTCATTTGGATCTTTTTCAGTTCCACCAGTCGAGTGCTGGAGCGGGAAACCTAGAGAAACCCCAAACACAGCCTGGAGTTTCCCGCAGAGTACAAAGTATCATGGGTAGATCATGGTAGATCGATGTAGATCGGCTTTAGGGAAACCCTGTCATGTCAACCTATGTCATTGTTGCGACCTGGTTCGAGAAGCCCAAAGGCTTGGCTCCTGGATCTGCATTTGAAGAGATCCAAAGACCTGCACATCTGAAACAGTCAATGAATTAAGGGACAAAAATGTGGGCAAACCCAAGTGTCCCAAGTCTTCAACTCAAAAACATATAAAAGATTATAAAAGCATGTGGTTGTCAACTTTTTTCAACCGCAAATGGCCCCTTGAAACAGTTCTGGGATCTAGCGAGGGTAGCGATGTGAACATCCCTAGACCTACAGCCTGCACACCTGAAGCGACTTCGGTCTTGAATTTCAAACATTCAAATTGTGGATATCCATAGATATCATATTTTTGCCCTAGTCCGAGATATTGGCACACCTGTATGTAAGAGGGTGCAAACAGTCAACGTGGATGCAAACTAGCCTCAATTACACCTACGTTGAAATGAAGGATCATCTGCAAGCAACGGATACTCCAAACGGATATTCCGTGGCACGTTGAACAAAAGATACTGGACTCGCTTTGTCGCTTTGACTTTTCTGCGCACACTCAGAGTCATAAAGCAGTTCATGAGATAGCACTGTTGAGATTCCCTTCTCTCGACAACATTCCATCAAAGCGTGCGAAGGAATTGGCTCCATCACTCCAGTAACTCAAGAGCTGCTGGCCCTCCAGCCCCCAAGGTTTAACCCCTCATTTGCTTGATGGAAATCATCATCCAAATCTTTTTTGCTACAAACTCCCAAGAAAACGGGATGGATCCAGCGATTCTTGGGCGACCCTTCCTATGATTCCTTGGGGGACCCAAGAAATAACCGACCAGGACCTTGCCATTGGCACGCATGATCTCGAAGAGATCATAGTTCTTCTTCTGGGGCATGATCGAAGAACCTGTCGAATCATGTGTGTTCCTCTGATCAGATTGGATATTGGGATACCCCAAAATTGCAATTTTAAGGGGCACATGGTTTAACTAGTGATTGAGTGGATTGAGGGGTTCTCATTTTTCAGACAAATGCAAAGGGTGCAGATTTGTTTGGTGATTTTTGTTTGTTTGTTTTTCAGTCTGGGGCACTTTTCCTTGCTATTTGCTACATTTTGGAGCAAACAGCTGTACTTTCCTGAATTTTGGAGCTAAAATTTGCCATTTGCCCTGTTCATTGATTTTTCCATCGTGTTCATTGATTTACCCAAAGTTGTCATCGAATTGTCCATAGTTTTCATTGAGTTTGCCATGGGTTCAATGGTTTTTTCCATGGTTTCAATCGATTTTTCCATTGCATAACATGCACCTGGTGAACATGTAGAATATAGGTTAAAGCACAAGCGTGCTGGGTCTAAATAGTGGCATTGGATGCTATCATAGTGTTGGTTGGTTTAGGGTTTATTTAGGGTTGGTTTAGGGTCATTTAGGATTGGTTTAGGGCTTATTTAAAGTTCATTTAGGAGTGGTTAAGGGTTGGTTTAAAGTTTATTTAGTGTTAGTTTAGGGTTTATCCAGAGTTATTTAGAGATGGTTTAGGGTTTATTTAGGGTTGGTTTAGGGTTTATTTAGGGCCATTTAGGGTTGGCTTGAATTTATTTAGGGTTGGTTTAGGGTTTATCCAGAGTTATCTAGAGATGGTTTAGGGTTTATTTAGGGTTGGTTTAGGGTTTATTTAAAGTTGGTTTAGGGTTTATTTAGGATTGGTTTAGTGTTTATTTAGGGTTGGTTTAGGGTTTATTTAAAGTTGGTTTAGGGTTTATTTAGGGTTTATTTAGTGTTGGTTTAAGGTTTATTCAGGGTTGTTTAGGGTTGGTTTAGGGTTTATTAGGGTTGGTTATGCCGGGTTGGTTTAGGGTCTCTTTAGGGTTGGTTCAAGGTTTATTAAAGGTTTATTTACCGCTGGTTTAGGGTTTATTTAGAGTTATTTAGGGCTATTTGGGTTTATTTCGGGTTGGTTTAGGGTCTATTTAAAGTCTGCTTATGGTTGGATTAAGGTACATTTAGGGATACAAGGTGTGTGTATAGATAGATAGATAGATAGATAGACAGACAGACAGACAGACAGAGAGATAGATAGATAGATAGATAGATAGATAGATAGGATAAGATAGGATAAGATAGGGTAAGATAGGATAAGGTAAGGTAAGATTAGATTAGATTAGATTAGATAGATTAGATTAGATTAGATTAGATTAGATTAGATAGATAGATAGATAGATAGATAGATTAGATAGATTAGATTAGATTAGATTAGATTAGATTAGATTAGATTAGATTAGATTAGATAGATAGATAGATAGACAGAAAGATCGATAGATCGATAGATCGATAGATAGACAGATAGATAGATAGATAGATAGACAGATAGATCGATAGATAGATAGATAGATAGATAGATAATTAGATAGATAGATAGATAGATAGATGGATAGATAGATTAGATTATATTATATTCGATTAGATTAGATTAGATTAGATAGATAGAGAGATAGATGGGTAGATGGGTAGATGGATAGATGGATAGATGGATAGATGGATAGATGGATAGATGGATAGATCGATAGACAGATAGACAGATAGACAGACAGACTAGATTAGACTAGATTAGACTAGACTAGATTAGATTAGTTCTGATAAGCTTAGATAAGACTAGATAAGATTAGATAGATAGACAGATAGATAGATAGGTTAGATAGATTAGATAGATTAGATAATATTAGATTAGATTAGATTGGATTGATAGATAGATAGATAGACAGATAGACAGATAGATAGATAGATAGATAGATAGATTAGATAGATTAGATAGATTAGATAGATTAGATTAGATTAGATAGATTAGATAGATTAGATTAGATTAGATTAGATTAGAATAGATTAGATTAGATTAGATTAGATTTAGATTAGATTTAGATTAGATTAGATTAGATTAGATTGGATTAGATTAGATTAGATTAGATTAGATTGGATTGATAGATAGATAGATAGATAGACAGATAGATAGATAGATAGATAGATAGATAGATTAGATAGATTAGATAGATTAGATTAGATTAGATTAGATTAGATTAGATTAGATTAGAATAGCATAATAGGTTAGATTAGATTAGATTAGATTGATTGATAGATAGATAGACAGATAGACAGATAGACAGATAGACAGATAGGTAGGTAGGTAGGTAGATAGGTAGAGCATGGTAAAGCATGGTAAAGCATGGTAAAGCATGGTAAAGCATGGTAAAGCATGGTAAAGCATGGTAAAGCCACACGGCCACAAAAGCAACAAAAGCCACAAAAGGCACAAAAGCCACAAAAGCCACAAACGCCAGGCTGGAAAACAAAAAAAACAAGAACATCGCCCTCCAAATGCAAATGGGTAACCATGGAAGCCACCCGTGAACCACACAAGCTGGAAGACGCACGTGTAAAACATGCAGTCACAGCGTCAGACTTTGTCAGATTTTGAACAACTTCACTTCTGAGTCTGTTGGCTGCTTTTTCTCAAAGAACAACACATTGACAAATTGTTACAAACATGCTCTGATTTCAAAAACTGTTCAAATTTCAGACATTGAGAGGACACATTTTTCAGCTCCGTTCAGCTTCGCCTGTCACGAAATTATCTGGCAAAGCCACGAAGAGAGTCTCCTGCTGCGTGAACATCATCATATCCTGACCATCTGGCACTGGCAAAATCCAATCACAGGATCCATAAACTATGATTCAATGGCTTGGCTCAAAGGAAAATATTTAGGAAACCATGGATTTACCAAATGATGTGGGTTTCCCTGCAGAATTTTCCCATTTTTTCCAAGTCTGGGAATGATTGAAATTGGGCCCTTGGAGAGTCAACAGGACCCGTGGATGCACGAATAAAATTTCAATAAACAGTTCAATTGTAAACCCAAGAAAGAAGCAACGCAACCACCAGTGACTCACTCGCGCGCGCAACCAACTCATCACTCAAGCCACCAAACTATCCATCAATCAACCTTAAACAATGTGAAACGTTGAACAATGTGGTAGTTGACAGTTAATGATTGATCATGAACCTGAAACAATGTGAAACCATCAAAGATCAAACACACATTTTTCCCAGCTTGTTCCAATGATATTCATCCTTTGATGCCCTGCTACTTGCAAGCCCCAGATGCATGCTACGTGGTCTCCACCAAGGATCTGTGGCAAATCTGGAGCTCAAGACCATGGGAAAACTCATGGCCTGGACGTGAGTCGATCCTCCCCAGAACCGGCCTGGAATTCTCATCTTCGGGACGTGGATTAAAAAAAACACGAGTATACGAATTACTGTATATCTATCATAATGACCATAATGACCATAATCTCATTGTTGGACATTAGATTACAACTGTATATATATATAAGATCTATCGTTATATCCCATGGATATCCACTGCATGGTACCTATCTCTATTGGCTCCACTCGGTCGCCTGCAGGGCCACGTTTTCAAACATCCCTCGGCTCAAGCCACAATACCTGTGGCGACTCCAGTGATTCCCTCGTGGTGATTTTCGTGATGGTTTTCCCCACCGTCTTCGCATTGACCAGAAAGAAATGAGCCTAGAAAAAAATGGTCATAACATGTCATAACCGTTACCAATCATTCAATAGGTACCAAACGTTTACATAACGAACTGGAAAATCACCATGCTATTAATGGGTAAATCCACTATTTCTATGGCCATTTTCAATAGCTATGTTTGTTTACCAGAGGGTACAAACCATTATTCAAGCTCATTCCCATATTGTGACCCGCTTTTCTTGTGGAGATCCCCAAAGTACCTCACGATATCCCCATTGTATCCCTATGATCACACAAAAACAACGGTTGAATAATACCAAGAACATCCGACTAAACTGAGTGTATATATAATATATAATAATCATAACAACAATAACAACAAAAAAACATATACTTATTATATCAAATAGCACAAAATACTATATAATCATATATAATCAGTCATAATCATATATAACAATTTATATATAATCATGTATAATCATATATAATCATTATGTGTATATATATATACACCATATGTCATATATATATATATATCATATATATGTCATATATATATATGATATGTAAGTCATATATACCACCAGTATATATTATAAGGATTTATAAGGTACATGATCATCATATCCCCCGATTGCTCTGTCAGGTCACATGGGATTGCTCTGCACCGCCCCGAAGCCCATGAGCTTCGCGGTCTCCTCCCGGTCCAGCGCCAGACCGTTGATCCCGAAGCCGGCGGCGGAGCCCAAGGGGTTCTGGTCCAACACGCTGATCCTTGGGGAATGGCCGGGAATGAGGTCAACATCCAAAAAAAAAAGGATCAAAAAAGACATATATATCTATAGAATTACATAGAAAAAATGTGATCTAAAGATGTTGTTATTTTTTTTCGGATTTTAGATAGTGTTTGAGATTATTCTGACTGGAATTTCTTGGTTTCTAATGTCTTGAACGAGTTTTTCTTTGAAGCTAATTGGTGGTTTGTGGTTGCGTTCTTGTTGTATCCTCGTCGGGAAATCAACCCTGTGAAATGGTGGGAATCACCAGGAGGGATAACTTTTTACCCAGTCAAAACCAAGAAATCAAGGCGTTTATATAATATGAGTCATTAAAACGTGGAAGCAGCAAATATCAACCAATAAACATAGAGGGTTCAGCAGCCCAGAAACGCCTCAACCAACAAGAAAACAAGGTTCTCATCTAAACACTGCTTGAGTCAAGCATAAACTTCAGAAACAAAAAGGAAAAACAAACACGTTCCGGTAGTGCATCACGATGCGCTTTCATTGCAGCCAAGTCAAGTCATGTTGATTTTAACTGGCGTTTACCGTGTTTTTGTTGCTTTCCTTCAATGATGTCATCTGCTTCTCTAGTTTTTTTTTAAAAAATGGATCAAAATTTACGTGGCGCCACAGTTTCGTGCATCTCGAAAGGGGCCACAACCAAATGCATGATTTTGTAAGTAGATTGTCATTTCGCTACGGCGGTCATGGTTTTGACTATCAATTTGACTAGTTTTGCCCCCTTTTTTGGTCATGGTTTTTCATGGAAATCAAAAAAAATGGCGCTCCTGTTTCTCTGCATGTAGCTTCACTCAAACAAGCATGAGCGCAGCATCAAGAGCGTCGCTTCAAGAGCGTGTTGCAACATGTGAAGATAACGTTAAATGCGTAGCATCAAGAACGTGTTATGAAGATCAAGTTAAGAGCGTAGCATCAAAAGCGTGTCGCAGCTTATGAAGATTAACTTTAAGAGCGTAGCATCCAGAGCGTGTCGCAGCTTATGAAGATAACTTTACGAGCGTAGCATCAAGAGCGCGTGGCAAGTTCCAAAGAAAAGTTAAGAGCGTGTTTCAAGTTGTGAAGATACAACGCAAGAAGCAAAAACGTTATTAGTCACCCCCCCATCCCCCCACCCCCCAAGCCCCCCGAAACTAATCCTGCGTGGCAGGCGTGGAAGAATATGCACAGGAAAGCGCCCTGACATCCAAAACGCGTCTCAAGATGTACCACCGGAGCCAAGAATAACCAAACAATCTTCCAAACAAACCATGGCATTTTCATGGGAAAAGTTGGGAGGTCTCCATTTTTTGCCAGGGATCGCCCCGTCTAAGACCTTCGCTGCATCTTTCCAGCCCTGTGCGAAGGAGCCCAGCCAAGTGCCAACGCTGGTAGGCATGGCACGCTGCATGTGGGTGTAGCCTGGACCGATCCGTAGATCTTCAACGATGTTCAACGAGGGTAACGAAGAGATCGATTTTTGGGGTCTATGATGTTGCTAAAGAGCATGGCTATATCATGTAGAATATAAATATAGGGTTTATATGGGTCTATCATGTTGATAATATTTATATGGCTATTTGAGGAACTACGGGTATATCGTATAGAAATGGGCTATATCATGTTGAAAATCATCATTTTAGGGATCTTAGGGCGGGTGGAAGAGGCCATTCTGATACCTCAGAAATGGATGATTCGTTCTAAAAACGATCGCACATCTGTCTGTGGGTCCCTGGGATACTGAGTGATACTGGAGAGTCATTGGTGATTTAAAGTAAAAAAAATCGCCCACAGTCATTCAAAATCCTGAAAACACATGGAAACATAATGCCCCAATAAACCGCTCTCATTGGGGTTTTCAAGACAACATCAGGTGGAAATGGGATGTCTAAATGGCAGCTGTGACAGAATACCAAGATCAACCTGGAAACTCCAAGTGCACAAGCCTTCCTTTGCTTGAGATTCGCGTATGCGTCAGTCAAGTCCAAAGGCACATGTTTCCAGAAGTTCACTTCATGATTCAAGTGCGAATCTTGCTTTGTTTTAAAATGGGGTACAGTATCCCTACAATCCATGGTTTACCATCTTTTTCCCAACTAAAACAGCAATTTTCAGGAAAAATATGATCAACTATTGAGAAATAAACACGCCATGTTGAATTCATGGTGTGTTTTTTCCCCAATTCCCATGATTATTTTGGGAAAAAAAACAAATATTATACCAGCATATATCAGATCTACCCCATTTTCCCCAGTTAGATCCACATTTCTATGTGGAAGTGCAGCCTTCACCACGCCTGGCATAGCCACATCATTCAGCTTGGGCAAGCGCGCCTGCGGGGAAACATGGCAGGGACTTCTTGGGAAACGCTATTAGAAAAAATGGAAACTGATATATTCGGATTGATATTAATCAAGATGGATAGTAAGAATGAGTTCATACAAAAATACCAGGAATATTTTGTTGGGGACCCGTCTGATACAATGGATTGGGGGTCTGATAGACAAATATGAATGTCAACATTGCAGGAAACCAGGAACCACATCTTTGATGGAAGAAAATAACATGGTGTCCTTAGATTTTTTAAATAGATTGTTCCTTAAACCAACCCCATGAAAGATAAGATGATTTTACCCTACTTTACCCATCAGCATCGGGATTGAATCAGCAACGTGTGAGAATTCAACCAACCAAACTGCACAAAAAGCACGTCACAAACAAGAAACGACATCAAAGCATATAGTTGCAATGTTGAAAAACATCAAATATAGATGTGGATCCTATGCGTTTCGTGTGATCAAACATGTAGATCATATACACATCATATATATATGATATATAAGTATATAATGTGTTATGAATTGAGCACCAACTGTCCGCAAAAAGAAGAAGACAGACCACAATGAACATCAACAAATCATAAAACTATACCATCCCTCCAATTAATATAGACTCTGCCAAATATAGGCATGGAAGGAAACCATTTCCACTAAACATTCGTGTTGTTTGTTCTGGGTCGAACTGTTACTTGGGGGAGGTTATCATAAAACATCCCCAATGACTGGCCATAAATGGATGGCAAAATATCATCCCCTAATGATAGATTATAGCATTGGTTTTACCACATTCTGCTATACAAATCCAACAATGGTTGTTGAAAAAAAACATACATGTACTATCCATGAAACATATACTATGTTTCTTCTATACCCTCCAAACTAACATAGATATCGAAAACTAGCATCAAAGTAGATCATTTCCCGAACAGGAAACCCATGGGTTTTCCACGAATCTGTGTTACCCCAGGGTACTATACAAATTAAGAAGTAATATACTAGGTAGTAACTATATTGGTTGGTGGTTTTAACCATCTTGAAAAATATTAGTCAATGGGAAGGATTATTCCCCAATATATGGGAAAATAAAACATGTTCCAAACCACCAACCAGCTATACTACTTAGGAAGTTATATAATTCCATGGTACTATAGATATACTATCCACTATCTGGAGGTGTCCAATCCATGGACCCCTAAATTTCTTGTCGGATCCATCATAAACCATCCAGCTGTTGGGGTACCCATGGCTTCGCCCTACAGTATACCATTTTTTTTGTAATTGTAATAGAACCGTCATTCCATACTAATATTAACATTTATATCAACCACAATAGTGGACTATTAACAATGGTACCCACTATCTAATAATCTAATACCTATATTCATGTGGTTAAATCCACAAAAACCTCAAGCTTGGGGATGGTTTATGGCGGTTGACCCTTTTTTTTCAGGGCTGTTTTTCGATAATGGGTTCATATCTCATAGAAATTCCATAGATATTCCAGTTTCCAATGGTTTCCTTTTGGGATTTCCATAGATCTTCCATGTTCTATTTGCAAAAACCCCCCCATCCACCTCCGCCGCAGAAGCCAGGTCGAGCGCAAGGGCCTTGACCTCGCGCAACCTGGGAGAGATCACTGATCACATCGAAAAATCTGGTCATCACATACTGGTTGGTGGTTTCAACCATCTTGAAAAATATTAGTCAATGGGAAGGATTATCCCATATATTATGGAAAAAAACATGTTCCAAACCACCAACCAGTAAAAATATGGTTCCTTACTTGCAAAATCTGGTCACAAAAAAGAACAAGGGACCGCAAATCACATAGAAACCAGAGTGATATATAACCATAGTGATGACAATAAGATATCGTTGATATTGATATATACCATATATTTTTTGATATTTTACGATGGCGGAATATCATAGTGAGATTTTACCACTGGAGGTTTAATTTTGTTTTTACTTGACCACTTACTTTTTTGGCTAGTTCAGCGGCTGTAGCAGTTTCAGTTCAGTTTGCTTCACAGAATTTTTGTAAGGGATCACCTGTCAAGAAACACCAACGCCAGCAATACATCTGGTAGAACAGGCTGAACCACGAACCAGTGAAACCAGGTTTTTTTCAATCAACCTGGCTATTCACATCAAACTTGTCGCCTCTCTGGTGTATATATTCACTATGTATATATATATATATATAGTGTACAAATACGGAAACATTCATACTAATTATATACATATATATGGAAAATCATAGGTGGCATGACCCCTTCCCAGCTTGTCGTTTTTTGAGTATGGGTCAAGTCACAAAAATCTGTACAGCTTGGGGGTGCTGCTGATATGGGATTTATGGATGGCTGACCATGGTGATTAGCTCCATGAGTTGGTCCACTTATAACTGCAGTTCCACACCCGAACATGTACAGTAAATCACCTTTAAAAAGTCATCCTTCCCAACGCCAACAACAATAACAACACACAAAAATTCCACCCCGCCGTAGCGCCCTGGCCACCAAGGAGCTGCTCCAATGAGTAGAGTCGGATCATTGTCATGGACCTATGGATTCCACCATCGTTGCAATGGAGATGGGATGAACGAATGATATGAACGAATATATTGGATTCGATATCAACAACCGAGTCTAGTGATGAAGATTGATGAAGATTGGGATGATCATGATTTACCATCTGGTAAACTAACATAGCTATTGAAAATGGCCATTAATAGTGGATTTTCCCATTAATAGCATGGTGATTTTCCATAGTTTTTTGTATGTTTACCAGAGGGTAACCCAGATTTCCGAATCAACTGCTCCAAATGGAGAATCGATTTTTTTAAAACACAAAAAAAACCTTCGGCCATATGTCCGGCCAAGATCTGCCGCACAGTCACATGGGCAGCTTAGTTACCCTGGCTGACAGAAATTTTACATCATTCCATACCCAATAATAGACTACACAGGGCTATAACGGGATATATATTGGGTAATTATAATATATATATATATTATTGGACAATAATAAGATACATTGTAATTATAGTATCTGGGATATTTATATATATATAATATATATATATGTATATGTCCAATAATAAGCTACTGGCTAAACCTCTATATGTTGGATGCTTTCATGTTGGAGATGGATTCCTACCGTACATTAACCAAGAAATAGTTTATCTGTTGCAGCCGGCAAGTCCGCGGCAACCTCCCAACAGATAGAACAGATGGAAATCTGGAAATGAATGGGACACGACATCAACGATAGCATACTGAAAACACCGCTATCTTTCTTTTTGGGGGCTGCTATTTCAATGTATCCCAACCCGAACCAGCTCCAATTTCATCAGTGAGTTCATGGACCAGGAGGAGGCTTATCGAATTGGGCGGCTATCACCTAGATTGCTTCTAAAAGAATCTACACGAGTTGGTACCATAATATTAAAGAACCGCGATCCACAACCTCAACCACGACCAACAGATCACATATTCCACGCCCAGTGTTCCCTGCCGGACCTCAACCACGACCACCACGCCCAGTGTTCCCTGCCGGACCTCAACCGCGAGTATGCCAAGTGTTTCCCCCAGTGCCTGCCAGTAGAATGCCAGAGGAAGATATATAGATATAGATTTATATAGAATGCCAGATATGCCTATGCCAGATAGAATGCCAGGATATGCCAGAAGATATGCCAGAAGATATGCCAGATAGAATGCCTCAGAATGCCATATGCCAGATAGAATGCCAGATAGAATGCCAGAAGATATGCCAGAATATATGCCAGAAGATATGCCAGATAGAATGCCAGATAGAATGCCAGAAGATATGCCAAATAGAATGTCAGAAGATATGTCAGATAGAATGCCAGAAGATGTGCCAGTAAGAACATGTATAAATGTCATGGTGGGGATCACACGAAGTAAAGTAATTCAAGATTGACCATTTTTGTTACAGACAATCTGCAGAGTCGGGGAAATAAAAATATGTGACCGCTGTCCATGTTGACCAACGCCCTAGTTTCACCCATCACTGAAGTCATTGTCAGGACCAAGACACTGATCGTTCCGAGAACGACCGGTGTGGATCTTCTTGCCCACGTCTCCATATTTCCTTGGAAGTGAACATTACAGATCATCCCATACCTGTTAGGCCTTTGATTTTTTCAATGTCATATCAATATCTCTGGACTAACATCACTATGGAAAATCACAATTGTTAATGGGCAAATCAACTATAAATGGCCATTTTCAATAGCTATGTTAAATTACCAGAGGGTAAATCCCCTATCAAACCATGGTTTCGTGGCGTGTTTCATGTTAAGTGGAGGGGATTAGCAAACTGTTCCTGGCACATTTGGATACCCCAAGGTTTTGGGTTTAGGCTTTCCAAGGGGTCAAATATATATCGTTGCACCGTTTGCAAAAATGAGCGCTGGTTGAACATGGTTGAACAGTGAACCATGGTTTTTTTCAATCTCCAAGAGTCTCAGTGATGTACTGTTCAATGGCTGTGTGACCATCTTCTTGACTGGGCGTTACCTTGAACTCACCTCCCAGGACGGAGGTAAGAGAAGAGCTGTGGATCAGTCAGTGCACAGCACCACTCTTGATGTTCCAACCGGTGAAAAAACACCCCACGCCAGTGGTGTTTTTAAGTTAAAAACCAGGAGCATCAGGTTGCATCAGGTTGCATCATGTTGCATCATGTTGCATGTTGTTTGACATCGTAAACATTAAACGCTGCACCTGGGCAAACGATGAAAAAACAAGTACCTTTCCAGAGGTGATCACCCGGATTTTATTCTTCGCAGGGATTGAGATTGAGGGGCTGATGGTAAGCCCTTTTTTCGGATGAACTTCCAAAAAATCCTCCAAAAAAATTGTGCATTTAAGATCATTTAGGATCATTTAGGGTAGGTGACGGTAGCCATTTCTTTTCTTTGAGGGAAAAACTTTGGGCCTTTCTTCCAGAGCTCTTCGATCTCCTTCAAGGCAGTCTTCAAGGTTTGCAACTCCTCAAGACGAGAAAAGGGGCCGGAGCCTGTGCTCTCTCCGTTCTTGGTTAAGTTTCCATAGTTTCCCAAAGAAAAAAACAGAAATCAAGAAATCCAAATTGGGGAAATTTGAGCAAATAAAATAAACAGAAATAAACACGGAACTCGGTTTATTTCGAAATTGGGTCAAAAATCACAACTGGGATTTCCATGATATTTTTCATCACCTTTCTTGAGAGAGATTCCCTAGGCCTAGGGCCAGTGGCCGGCTTGAACTCACACCTGGCTACATCCTGGCAGCTTAGTTCACCTTGGACTAGTGATCACCTGACATCACCTGAAGGATCCAAAAAGAACTTGCCATCACCAATCTTTCACAATCCAAAAGTCAGGGATCATGTCCACTTCCAAAAAATCTCTATGGTGTCCCATGACCATTTCCATCATTTCCCAAGTTCCTCCACTCAGCTATTGCCCAGTAGGATCTTTCATCATCCAGATCATCAAATAGGAGCTCCAACAAAGATCAGCGATCTCAGGGCCAAACCACCACTTGGGATGGCTGAAAAACCCTCAAACCATGTGGCTGTGACCCAACATCCCATGATGAAAACAGGTTTAAGCCTCATTTTCCACATGAACAACTGCAGAAATTAAGAACATATCTGGGTAAATCATGGTAATTTGTGTTCTTTTGAGGTACCAAAGCCATACATCACCCAGCAAGCTGGCCTCCAAGATGAACCCCCCTGTCCTCAGCCGTCAGCACACCGATGGATTGGAGCATCGACGCATGTGCGGCGCTGGCTTTCAAGTCATAGGGCAACAAGACCTCACCATCCAAGCGATAGTCCTTTCACCAGGCGTTGCTTGTTGCACAGAAAAAACACAGAAAAAGAGACACTACCCTCACTACCCGGAGGGGTGTCATCATAATTGTCATAGCTGGAAAATCCACCATTTTTGAGATTTCCCAGCGAACTAAACCTCTGTTTAGTTTGGGGACTTCCCAGTGCGACGTTTTGAGTATCGGAGGGTATGAGGAGAAGCCACGATTGAAGTAGAATCTAAGATCATTTTCCGAGCAGGAACGCATTGGTTTTTCACATCTACGTTAGTTTGACCCAGGGTAGTTCCTATCTAATACGGTCCTGAAGGTCATGATCATGTTTCAATATGTGTGAACTATATACATATGATACTGATCTAATTACGAATTCTGTATAATACTATATAGTCTATAAATTATGGGTGATAATCGTCTGTGAAAGTGAAAACAATCATCTATCATCTATAAATTATCGTCCGTGAGAATCATCGTCTGGTGGGAACAAATCATCATTGTGACGTCACGAGATGAGGTCATTGTAATTCATCATGTATGTATACTATATATAATTATATAAATATATTTATATAATATTATGTGTATATATGAAATTCAACGTGACAATTGAAAAAATCCCTATAACATCAGGATGCAAAAAATAGAAATGGAAGATTGTCCAGCAAGCCACGCTACTATAATCCCTTCCCAGATCCTGGAAGCCTCCCCAAGCTATCGGAAAACAGTCCTCACCGACCTGGGCCAAGAGCCCAAGTGAATGGATCTCATAATATCTCAGAAACATTCCACTATGGTTTCGAGCCTAGGATGATTTCAGCAGAATGTTGAATACAGATAATTACTCAGTAGTTACTCAGTAGGTACTCAGTAGTTCAGACATCTTCGCAAACCTCACGTAGAGGCCCGCGATGGATCCCCCAGGAATCCTGAGAAACATGCTCAGAGCCCTACGTACGGCGAGCGTTTGTTTAGTTTTCCAAAACTACAAATCCTCAAAGCCTGAACCCATGAAACTCGTATGGCGATTGTTTTCACTCGTCCTCTGGTGACAAGTATGTAATATTGTCTGGGTGTGTTGAACATGGCCCGTGGGGAATGCGGGGAACATGTTGAAACATGTCAGTGATATGTCACTAACTACCTGAGAAAACCCCGATTGAAACATACCGTTTCTACCAAAAATGGTATGTTTAACCCACCTGAAGTCCTCAGAACTCCGAACGAAAATTGGATGCTTTGAGATGCTTTTAGTATCACTATGGCGTCAAGGCACGGTGTAGGCTTCCACCAATGGGTGAAGTCCACCGCCACTGCCCTGCCACAGCTTCGCCATGGCGAAAAATCGCAGGAGTTTTGAAAGGAAGATCTCTATATATATAATTATATATATATAATTATATATATATATATATAATTATATATATATATGCTGTATGTGTGTATATAGTATATATATATGTATATCCTGTGAGCTGTGATTGCTGTGGATGCTGTGAGCTGGAACTCTAGGACCTGAAAAAAATGGAAACATATGGCAACTCACCTGACATTTGAACAGATCAGAATCGTGACTCCACCTTGGGACCTTGGAACCTTGACCCCTGGGCAGACTTTGGACATCTTCACCTTCGGCAAACTCAGCAAAACAATCGTTTGTGCATGGCCAGGTGAGCTCACTTTTTTTGGGCTCACATTCTGGTTTCCTCCGGGCCCAGCTTGAGGCAAATTTCTGGCGGCAAAGTGGGGTTGATGGGACAAACCACCAGCATTCTAGTTCCTTGAGTTTCCAAGCGATCAAAAAATCTCCATGGAAAATTCGGATTGTCCAGGCTTGCCATGTTTGATTACTGGAAGGTATACTTATAAACCATCATAAACCTGCCCCGAATATTGCTGAGACGTGCTTGTTCTGTCATTGTGCAAGTCATTGGGGATGGTTTCTGGGCATTTACGGCACCAATAGACCCACAAATTTGATGCTTATCATAGCATGTTCCCAGTAGTAAACTTGCCAAACAGGTGTAAATCCAACATGTTCAGACACCCAAATCCACTATTCATTGGTTGAATCAAGTTCATTCCCAATTGTTCATGGTGAAACCATGTGAAACCCCTATGTTTGATGCTTTCGCGCCCCACTTTTTGGCGAAATCCCAGCGACCGAAGTCACAGCGGACGCTCTTCGCCCAGCCGCGCCGTGTTTCGCTGCACCGGCGCCCCGCGGCACCGCGACGGCAGAAAGCCAAGGGCGCCCGTCCTTTTGAAGGAGACGCCCTGGGAGCATTTCATTCATGTTCTATCATGTTCTACACGTTTTTTAAATGAAGTTATCAATAGTTTCTTGATGTTTTTGGTTTGCATGTTGATTGGGTCTGTGGCGATCATCATGTTCTCTTGTAGTTTTAATGGGCTTAATGGTCTTAATGTTTCAAAAATGGTGTTTTATCCATGTGGCTAGCACTTTTGGGTTGTGTTGGCGCCAAAGCTGATCATTTACAGATCCAGTGTTTGGGAGATTCAAAAAATCTTCGCTCCAATCAACTGTGACCGCCATGCCCTTGCCCCATGGCCACTTGAAGAAAGTGTGGCAATCGATGACCAGACGCCTCCAAGAGCGCAGCATAGCGCAGCCATGGCTGACTTAAGTTGATTCATACATTGGCATCTTAACATGTATATATATAATACACATAGAATGTTTCTACCATATAATGTGTATATATATATATATTCATTAGTTGTCATAAACCTGTATAACACCTTGCAGCTGGTACAGTCGGCTGGTTTAGTTCATCATGTATGAAAAGAGCAACCGATCCGCTTCTCCGCTTCGGATGTTTGGTGGGAATCCGACAAAATGACTTTGTGTGAAACTTGGGTGCCCCAAGAAATCCATCAAAAATCCATATTTTTGGGAGTTAACAATCATCAAACCAATGCTTCATGGCATTAGAAGCCCGTTTCGCGCAGATGTGAGGATCTTTGCAGGCACCTGGAAGTGCTTCTTGGCAGTTTCCAAAAACACCGAGATGTCCTTCTCCATCACTGCCGGCTCTTCCTGCGCAAAAATGGATGGCGCAACGCCAACTGCACCAAGCACCTATTTGAACAATCTGGTAGTATTGAAAGTCAGACCCATCTACACTTTTGGGACAGAACATTTTGAGAAGTCAAAGACGTCCCAAGACTTACCGCCAAAACCAGGTGCGGGATAGGAAAATCACAGGTACGTTCGAACGACTCACCAGCCAACCTCTCCAGTTGGAACAGAGCCATAACTCCAGAACACGCTTCTCATCTTTCTGAAAATCGAAGGGGTCACCAAAGGTTCCTAAAAAAATCACATCCATACTTATCATACTTAGATGTCTTAACATGTCTTAACATGTCTTAACATGTCTTAACATGTCTTAACATGTCTTAACATGTCTTAACATGTCTTAACATGTCTTAACCATCACCAGCCAGTTCCCCCCAAAACGTTCGTTCCCCCATTGGGCTGTTCGTGGCCTCTTGTCGTGCTGGTCGCGATTCTCCCAAGAAGGTGTCATAAGGAAAGCCCAGGCCCAGGTCCTCATTGGGATCCTGGCGACATCGGTTTTTAGCCGAAAAGAGACATCCCCAAGAGATGGAAAAAAGGCCCGATTTTTTTTGGCACCCAGAAAAACATGAAACAGTCATATGATCATCATATAATCATCTGATGACTGCTTTCAGAAAGGTCAACAGTATCTGCTCCTTGCCCATCTGCCCGCTGTACCAGACTTTGGGCGGCAAATACCAGGGATTTCGCATCTGGCAGTGGCAGGGCAGCTGAGGTGTAGAATTGACCGGGGTCATTACCTAATTATGTGGCAGATCAGAAACTGTTCTAATGTGACATACCCATTTTGTGGCTGAGATCACCATTTTCCCCATTTTGCACCAAAAAGCAATTTGCTTCTGCTTCAACTGCTAATCGCCGCTAATCTGTCGCCTTCTTCTGAGGAGACTTCTTGGATTCGTCGCCCAAATAAACTTCATCGGGCGCCTGTTCCGAAGAAAATCTGAGAGTCACCCAAATGCCCATGGAACCCCGCTATCAATCCCCCCAATTGAATGAAAATTTTCAGAATGCGGCAGGGAAAGTGGTGAGTTGCAACAGACTCAACAGTTTTGGAACCAGATTTCGGAGCATGTTGCTTGTGGAGAGGATCAGAGCATCATGTTTAGCCTCAACAATTGCCACTTCAGGGTAGCCATTTTTGGACCCAAATCCATCCAAATCCCAGCCGGATGCCCTGAGATTCCCACCTGTCGACGCCTCGGCTTGCTCGGGAGCTTGAAATCCACCTCCTCCTCCTAGCTTGAAACGACACTTGGCCTGGAAATGGAGTCATATCCTGAACCTCCCAATATTCATATCTATAACATTATATATATATATATACATACATACATATATATATATATGTACATATATATATATGTACATATATATAATTATTTATATAACTTATGTATACATAATATCTGATATGTAAATACATCTCATTGATATATGGCGGTCATTATTCGCGAGGGTCTCATGTTGGATCCCTGGCGGCCTTTGCAATGGACAAGCGAATTTTACAATGGACCTTTTGGATCGACAATAACAAGAATATCATATTTTATAATATTATATGTATATATATATACATACCATATATATATATGGTATATATATATGGTATATATATATATATGTGGTGTGTATATATATGGTATATATATATATATGTGGTATATATATATGGTATATATATATGTGGTGTATATATATATATGGTATATATATAATTATATGGTATGTATATATATGGTATATATAATTATATGGTATATATATGGTATATATAATTATATGGTATATATATGGTATATATCTGGGTAAATTCTAATATTTCACTCACCTGAATCTAAAAGGCCATAAAAGGGGATGATTTCCCCAATCCTAACCATTATTCCCAGTGAGGGAGAACAGTGAGGTCGTTATAATTTACCCAAATATTTATATATATATATGTATATATAAACAATTATACAATGCATTATATCGGGTATCTATCGATTTTCTTCCCATCTAAAAATTGGTAGACGCCCCCGAGTCTGGTAAACCGCCCAATGTTTGGCCGCACCTGTGAAGTTAGCACCTGCAGAGGAAACTGCAGGAGATCTTCCACAGCATTGGAAACAAATGGTGACTTCAAACCATGAAATGGATCATTTCTGGGATAAACTAGGGATAGAACATGATATAATGTCCCAGCAAAATTCTTTCGCAGAATGATAACTATAGCTGCTATAGCTATTGGATTATTGGTGTATGACTAAATCAGACCTGAACACAAAAATCCTCAGACTTCATCCATATCATCCATATCATCCATATCACCTTGACAAGAACGTGACTTCATCACCTTCACCAGTGACGTCACTTTCCCCGCTGCTCACCTTCTTCGTTTCTCTGGGTACCTTAGAACCAGTGGGGCCTGATGGACTGACTGCAGCAGCGAAAACTTTAAGGACATCCAAAAAAAAGCGTTTTCTGTTGAAAATCTCCATACAGGCTATTAAACGGCTATTAAACGGCTATTGCAGGCTCATACCACTATCATCTCTCGGATATATCCATATGGCAGTGTGTCAAAACCCTGGTACCCCTGGTGAACATCAAAATAGCTGGTAAATGGATGTTCATCCCCCTAAAAATGGTGTTAATAGGTATTGATCCATACCCATATCTATCCCCTCCCTGAAGTAAATTGCCATCATTTGTTGCCATCATTTGTCGGCGCTAAGAAACAGCCATCAGGTCACCATAGAAATCCCAAATCCTGACTTTAGTCACCCCAGAATCACACCCCAAATACTGCCTTTAGAATGTACTTGGATCCACAAAAACCATCAGAAAAACCACCTAGAAACCATCTAAAGACCGCCTTTGAGAACCATTCAGAAACCATTTAAGCCATCTTTTTCACCCATCAGCCATCTCTCCTCCCCTGCGAAGCTACATTGCCCAGCAGTTCGTCCACCAGGCGCCGACTTAGTTGGCTCTCTACGGCCACCACGCGGTTGTCGGGCAAAATGATGTGGCAGCCCTCCGCAGCGTCCTGACTTGGAACGTGGAGGACGATGATCTACAGATAGGATGGATAAGATGGGATGCTGCACAACTCTCTCTCTATATATATATATGTACACACACACACGCTATCGCTATTGAAGGTTGTATTAGATGACTATATATGATAGTAGATTCTATCTGGTGATACTAAGAATACTAAGACTTTAAGATGGTAAAGCCAAATTGTATGATATATCATCCCAAATATGATCCTGTACGGACCGACCTGATATAGGATGACAATATTGGATGATGCTATCCTGGGTATCTGGGATTCAATGTGGGAGTATAATGGGTGCTGGTACGATGGGAGGGGTACAAGGGGACAACCAACTTGACATGATATGATTATGTGTGTCTGAAAATGGAAGGCCTACTCCCAATAGATGGCCAATGAGAACATGATAATGAACCATCATGATGATGATGATGATGATGATGATGATGATGATATATTGGTAATCCCTTCCCTCTGATATTGAATCTCCCAGCCAAAAGCCTCGTGGTGTCTGTACTGGATACTGGATCTATTATAATCTATGCATTGGGTCCATTCGTGATGCGGGATACAAAAACAACCCAGCGACTTCAGACCGCAAAAATGGGATGTTCTTGGTGAAACATTGTCTTGTCTGCCCCCAAAAAAATTGGGGGTGTCATTTTCCCCGTGCTGGTGGAAATCTTATTCTTGCTTGTTGAAAGATATGTTGAAAGTGATCTTAAAAACCCTTGGTGGTGGTAGTTCCATTCTCCTCATTTCAGGTCGGCTCAACGGTCACTAAATGATGACTTAGTGGCAATGAAACAATGAGGCCTTGAGATGTCGGTGTTACGTTGCAAAAAACGTAAGCCTGTTAAGCATCCCACGGTTCAGACAAAAATGGTCCAGTAAATGCATATAAAATCATATATATATATAAATGTCATACATTATTTTCTCAACCCTTCTCGATGTTTGTTGTTCCAATCTTTTTCAGAAACCATGGGACAGTTTAATCTTTTGCCTGCGGGAAAACATGGGACGATTCACCAACATCTGGGTGAATTGGATGGAATTGGCATCTATATACTGTGTATATACATAATATTATATAATATTGTAATTAAGCCCACATATAGACAATATGTTACATTGTATTACATCATATAACCAGATCCCATATCCTATCTACACATGAATATGTATGTATAATTAATATAAGTATGTATATCATATACATCATGCGTGAATATATCTGTTATTCTGTTCATCCATTGCAGAAAAAACTGTGGGGTATTCACCACAGGCTATACTTGTTGGTTGATAGGGGTTCCTCTATCGGATTGTGAGTATCAGCCTATATTCCTGAGCGTTGGTTCGAAAAATATCCCACCAGGGGGTGCGAAAAATATCCCAGTTTTCCCCATTGTTTTCTAAAATTGTATCCCTATGAAATACCAGTGATATCCCATGAACCTTGAAAAAGATTGGTCTAACTTCCACAAAAAATCACTGAACTGGCACGACTGCTCATTTCCCGCCCGCATTTTTCTGCGAAAAATAAACCCATGGGCACAGTATAGGTCAATTTTTTGGGTACCCCAATAATTGGATGCTTAGTAAACATAGACTAAAATCATCTAAAATCTGTGGTCTCTCAAGTCTTTAAACCCATATTATGGGTTTGTCTGAAAATAGCGTACCCCTAAACCCAATGGTTTTGCTGATCATTATCCCTATTAAATGGCTATATATGGCCCATATCCAAATGGCTTGCCCCACCAGACCTCCAGGTCTCGTTTCACCTTGGTCGCCTCTTCACTCCGCCAGGGCTTCCGTGCTGGCGACATTTCGCAGTGGGCTTTCGTGGTGAAAAATATGGAGATTTGGCCAACAAAAACTAGGGATGATTTAACAAAAAACTGGCGTTCTTTCTAACCAAACTTGGGATTTAAATGGATTTAAGAAACAATGATGTTTTTTAACTCAGGAAAATAGGGAACAAACACACATGGAGATGTATATAACTAATGAAAAGTCGGAGTTAACAAACAAAAAAAGACGCCTAAGCAACAAACACACAGATTTTTCAGGGCATTTGTAATTCTTACTATCAATGGAATCGAACAAATCACAGAATACCATATGCCCAGTAAACATGCGGGGTTGCAAATTTTCCCAATTCAATTGGACCTGTCTGACATATAGGACACGTCCCAAGCGTCACCCCGGAAGGTTACAGGGCAGCCAGTTCCGAAGGGTTCACATCTTTGGTTCACCTGACAACGTCCACAACGTCCACATCTTTTGATTTCTATGTGTACCCGGTGTTTTTTGGAAAAAAAAAAACGCATGGCCTTGAACAGACTTCTTGGCTTCTTGGATGATTTCACTGGGTTCTTGGACAGACCAGTCATCCTTGCAGAACGTGGGTTCCACTGTTTTTTTGTTCCAGCGTCAGTGACTCACCGGCATCCGGGAAACCTCGTTCTTGGAATCAAATGATTGGTTTAAGGGGGAAAAACCGGAAACGATGTTCTTTATCACCCAGAAAAAAAGGGGTGTTACCGTCAATTTTCCCATCCAACTCTGGGATGAAAAGTGGTACAGTGCCTTGATTTGGCTTTTATGCAGCATCTGAACATCTCAGTGTCTATCATGTCCTTCAAACGCTTTCAATCTCCGAAGGTGAACATCCCTGCCGTTTTTTTTTTACAGACGCTCTGATTTTTCATGTTGTTGTTTTATCCTGGATGATTTGCAGGAAACTATTGTTTTACCATGTAAAAAATGGTCTTCGTGTTTTTTTCCCCCTAAAGATGTCCTTGGATGCCAACAGCTCAGAGATGTCCGCATCGAAGGGATTCCTGCAAAGAGAAATGTGTGGAAAATGAGCGGTTGTGCCAGTTCAGTTTGTCTTTCTTTACTGGGATTTAATGGGGATATTGTGGGGTATACATGTATGTATAAGCAACTATAACCATTTGGGTGTGTCTGAAAATGGTGGATGTAGTCCCAAATTATGCCAATTAATGAGAAAATGCTGATTGACCAATTGAATAACATCAAACACACATCGGAAGGAATCCGACGTTTGCAACGGAATGTAGTTACCACGGTTGCCTGCAAAAAAAGAAATCCCTTCCTGGCCACAAATGGACCCAACACAGAAATATCCAACTCTTCCCCTCAAACGTAACTTAACTACCTGACTACTCAACTACCATATCTTTCCGTTTCATAGTTTCCAAATATAGAAAAACAACTCATGAATCCCACCCACCTAATTTGAAATACCTCCCATATGGGTCCCAAAAATTAATAGATCCACTACAAGACGAGTACAAATGTTTATTAGGGGAAGGATTGCCTGTACATCAGAATGATGATGATGATGATGATAATGATGATCCTCCTCCTCCTCCTCATCCTCCTCCTCCTCCTCCTCGTCCTCCTCCTCCTCATCATCATCATCATCCTCATCCTCATCCTCATCCTCATCCTCGTCGTCATCGTCATGATTCTTCCATCAATAGGCTATCTATTGGGACTAAATCCCTCATTTTCACACACAGCCAAATATCATATCAATGGTGGTTATCCTAATTCTATCTATATGATGTCCCAATGTGTCCCATTCTATTCCATTATATGTTGTCGCTTCTTTGTCTATCTCATCTTATATATCCAAGATGTTCCATGTCCATTTCCAGGCACTCAAAAGGTTAGACCTTCACGTCTATGCACATGTTCTCGAATTGGAAGATCAGCACAAATCATCAGTCTTGAAAGTATGATCTCACACTAAAAAAAATCTCCAGCTTCCCATGGTTGTTCATCATCATCATCATCATCATCATCATCATCATCATCTTCCCCAAAAACTGGCCATGAAATGGATTGAAATGCTATATCATTTAAAAAATCATCATCTAGTAAAGCCCTTTTTTTTGGTATTTCTTGGTATTTCTTGCTGTGATTCTCCATATACCTGGCTGAACCACAATAATTCACTAATCTGAAAATAGCCAGCTGATCGTTTGGGGATGATTCCCTCAAAAAAAAAACACCTTTCCAGTGACGGAAATCTGACACGACTAAGTGGTCAAATTCATCCAGATATATACACAGGAATATATATATATATATATGTAATCATATATATATATATGTATATATATATATTAATATGTATATATGTATATACATTTATATATATAGCACAAAAGTTATATAGATCGTAAAAACACAATTACATACTTGCACACAACCATATCATAGCTAATCCAATTTATATAACCAAAATTCACCATAGTCAGAGTTCCTTAGTTCCTTGGCCCCACCTGGAACTGACGCTGCTTTGTGGCAGGTCCGTGGACACGCTCGCGCTCACGGCCGTGAAGCTTGAGACCTTCGGCAGCTTCACTGGCACCTGCCGTTGGATGGATGGTGGATGGTGGTGTGTGGATTAGTAATAGTAATAATCATAGTAATGATAATAATAGTAATAGTAATCATAATAGTAATATAATATTATGATTATTTAGTAATGACTAGATAGTAATAATAATAGTAATCATCATAATAATAATAGTATTAGTAATCTAGTAATAGATATGATATCATAATAGTAATAGTAATAATCATGCAACTAGTAATTACTATTACTAAACATAACCAATAGTAGTATAATCGGTGGATATTCAATTAGTTGCCAGCAAACATAATAACAATAAAATCCACCACTAGCAATGACAACAACAATAATAGTATATAGTAATAATCAATTCACTATTGGTAGAAGATTACTATGAAAAAAAAACATAAAAATATAGCAAAAACAATTATAGATCGGTGTTTTGTCTTGTATTACTACTAATAGTGCTCTTCTAGATCTATGAATCGTATATGAAATTCCTATTGAGATGATGAATTCAAGGTGAAGGTCTCACTATTGACCATCTCCATCCATTCGAACTGTTTCAAGGGCCCGTGATTTGTGAATTTTGCTGCTTAAAATATCTCAAATTCAGAATTCAAAAGAGAAATCACGGTCAAATTCATGGATGCATTAAATCTCATCGAAACCACAAAATTTCGTAGCGGATCTCCACATGTTGGGGATACCATCCCAGATATCCCAGGATCGCATCAACTTCATCGGTGCCTTCTTCTTAGGCATGCCGACCTGGGACCGTCAACCTTTTTTTCGTGATGCGAAACTGGTGGTAAACAGAGGGGAAACTGGAATTTTTTCAGTGCTAGTGACACATGGTAGTTTTATGTGGTAGTGGCAAACGCTAGTTTTTAGCGGTTTTCTAAAATTGTAGTAAAATGGTCATGACGGTCATGTGATGTACGGAAAATATCATAGAGAACATTGATAGTGATGAAATCATGCTGAGTTTTGCCGCAACATCTGAGCATCCAACGAGCCATGGCCACCCAAGCTAAACCTCCTACTCTGCAGCCAGAAAACAAACAAAAAGAAACAGCTGAATGGCCAATGGTGATCTGAAGAAATGACATTCACACAAGTTTTATCCCGTACGATACCCCACCACCCCACCATTCCATAAAACTCGTTGCCATCCCAGCGATCCCAGGCCGATAAGTGTCCGACCGTGTCTCATATCTTGTTGTATTTGTACAACTATGTACTATATTCATCTATATTATACTATTACTAAAATATCTGTTGACTTAGAAAATGTGTCTTCACTTATCACACCATTTGTAGATCACCATTATCATTTTCTTGGAAGACCATGGATGTTCCACATCTATCTTAGTTTACCCTAGGGTAACTTATAATTCCAATATATTCCAATATGTTGTATTCCCGTTGAACCTGGCCACATGCAAGAAACTGATATTTTTTCCGCCCGGTGACGTGCATGGTCGGAAGAGTTCTCGATTTTTTGTTTCCACTGCGAAGGTTGGGGAATCTCTGGACGACCTGCAGATCTTTGATTATTACCAGGGGGTAGATCCCTGAAAGGTTGTTTGATCTGCTTCGGCCATCAAAGTATTTCCGAAAAGTGTTTGTTTTTGATGAACAGATCTCCAAAAAACAACTGATCATGGCTGCAAGTCACTTGTCCTGATCGTTAAAAAAAAACTGATTTCTTCAGGACATCCAGACATCTTTCATAGCTGTGTTCAGCGGTGGCTACCACATCCCTACTCAGCTCTCCAGCATGCGTGGCCTGTAGATGGCGAGCTGAAGGTTCCCTACCAAGTGTCCAATTGCGATTGCGAGTTTTTGATGTTAGCCTTGGATAAGACATAACATGGATGTCTTTCAAAATGCTGCAAACCCTGAAAAACCACAGTTTTTTATTTGGTGAAGGAACAAACAAACCCCTTTGGTTTTCCTTGTTCACCCCAGCATTCAGAGACTTGGGGTATGATAAACACTCTGACCTGGCGATAAGCCAATGTCTTGGCATCATGGGAATTTCACAATGAACCCAGCATGACTGGGATCGTGAACATGACATGGGATTAAAAGCGAGTTCGTTGACTTCGCGATGTTTTAAACCACACATTGTGCTCGATGAATTGTAATCCCCCGGCCTGCTGGTGTGTCTGATTGGAAGGTGTTGTTCCTGTTCTGCTCTTGGTTTGTACTTGTTCCTGTGTTCTCTTGCTACGCGTTTTTGCTTCATCTGATTCGTGTCCACCTTCCCCTCCCCCCTATGTCTAAGTCTAGGTCTCGTACCTGTACTAGTACTACTTCTACTACTTCTACTACTTTCTACTAGTTCTACTACTTCTACTACTTATCCTAATTCAACTTCTTCTCCTAATTCAACTACTTCTACTAATTCAACTACTTCTATTCCTTCTACTACTTCAACTAATTCAACTACTTCTACTACTTTTACTACTTCTACTACTTGTACCAATTCAACTACTTCTACTACTTCTACTACTTCAACTACTTCTACTACTTCTACTACTTCTACTACTGCCACTGCTTCTATTATTCTACTACTTCTACTGCTTCTACTACTTCTACTACTTCTACTACTTCTACTACTTCTACCAATTCAACTACTTCTACTACTTCAACTACTTCAACTACTTCTACTGCTTCTACTACTTCTACTACTTCAACTACTTCTACTGCTTCTACTACTTCTACTACTTCTTCTACTTCTACTACTTCTACTACGTCTACTACTTCAACTACTTCAAATACTAATAATACTACTACTACTGCTACTACTACTACTTCTTCTTCTACTTCTACTACTACTACTCCTACTACCACTACTCCTACTACTACTACTCCTACTACTACTCCTACTACTACTCCTACTACTACTCCTACTACTGCTCCTACTACTCCTACTCCTACTACTCCTACTCCTACTCCTACTTCTCCTGCTACTGCTACTACTACTACTACAACTACTACTATTTCTACTTCTACTATTTCTACTTCTACCTCTACTGCTACTGCTACTGCTACTGCTGCTACTACTACTACTACTATTACTACTACTGCTGCTAGTACTACTACTACTTCTACTTCTACTACTTCTACTACTACTCCTCCTCCTATACTCCTTCCTTTTTCCCCAAGTACTAAACTGGTAGTGCGGGTAACTAATGGTACTGTTTACAGCACTGCAGTCGCTTATAGGTACTAGTCATAGGATGCACACGGTACTAAACTGATCGGCCGGTACTCATTTGGTATGCAGTCCATAGGTTGTTCAAGCACGCACTTGCTGCTAAAGCTGCTTCTGATCTACGGCTCTGTCTTCGTCTCTTCTTCTTCCTCTTCTTCCTCCTCTTCTTCTTCTTTTCTTCTCTTATCTTCTGCTTCTCTCTCAGGCTTCCACCTAGCGTGCACATCAACCTGCCTTGGGGCAACCTCTCTCCGCTTCCACCCTGTCCTTCGGTTCATACATAGTACCTGGCGCTACTTTGCTGGGGGCGGTACTGCTTTCCATTACGGCCAGCACTCGCTACACAAGCTGCTTCCGTTTTACGGCTCTGTCTTCGTCTGACCTTCTTCTTCTTCCTCCTCCTCCTCTTCCTCCTCTTCCTCCTCTTCCTCTTCCTCCTCTTCCTCTTCCTCCTCTTCCTCCTCTTCCTCCCCTTCCTCCCCTGCCTCCCCTGCCTCCCCTGCCTCCCCTCCCCACCCCGGCCCTCCCCTCTCCTCTCCTCTCCTCTCTTCTCTTCGCTTCGCTTCGCTTCTCTTCTGCTTCTCTCTCCCGCTTCCACCTAGAATGCACATAAAACTTCCTTGGGGCCACCTCTCTATGGCCGGCGGCCTTGCCGAAGACAGTTACCGTAATATTGAATGATCCATCATGGTTCACAATCCAAGTCTTCAGCCAAACCGTCTTCCCTTAGCCTCCAGTGTTAACTGCTCGTGGCGTGCGTGCTGGAAAATCACCCATGAAAAGCTCGATGATTTGTATATCCCATATTTTCCCCATATCTCCCATATCTCTGCCATATTTCCCATGGTTTTCCCGAGTTTTTCCGTATGAATCCCTGCCATTGAGCATCCACACTTGGCGATGCTGAAGACTGGCTCTGCCCCAATAGAACGGGGAAAGAGCTTCACCTCACCTCAGCGGCCAGGTTTCCTCGAACAAAAATGGGGAGCTGCCATCTGGTTATGACTAACAGTTCGCCATGGAAAGATCCACCATGCTACTAATAGGTAAACCATTTTTAATAGGTAAAATTATATAAATATACAGTAGATACCCTCTGGTTATGACTAACATAGCCATGGAAGCCTCGGCCCATAGAAATAGATGGTTTACCTACTAAAAATGGGTGGATCTTTCCATGGCTATGTTAAATAACCAGAGCCTATATGGAATTTAATGGGGATAGCATGGGGAAGATTATGGAGTAACAAGTGAATTCTTGTGAAGTGAATGGAAACTCATGGGAATTGAATGGGACATCTGAAATGGGAATTGCGGGGCATCATGGGAATTTAAACATGGTGATTTACAGTGGATGTCTAAAATGGGGATAGTTACCCATAATTCCAAAAGCAGCAACCATTATGGGGATTAAATGGGCAATTTAACGGACATATTATGGTGATTTATGGGAATACAATGGGGGCATGAAACATGATGGGAAATATATGTCATCAATGGATTTAGTTGAAGGGACATTTTACAGGACCACCCTATATTTTATGAGAAAAATCATGATAATCATGGTTTCCGGTGCTAACTTTCCCTTCAACCAATAATCCCATTGATTTATATTGGCTAAACAAAAAAGAAAAGATGAGTTGACTTGACACCATGTCACAGTTTCCATTGATGTTCCTTGTCTTTTGGTGTGTGTGTGTGCATGTGTGTGTGGGTGGGGGGGTTCAACCCCTGTTTCCAAGGGATTTACGAATTGCTCAGTTTTTCAGTTTTAAGGCAGGGGGTGCGAGCAGCCCATCCAGTCTTGCACCAACGAAGACACTGGATGAGTGCTGGTGATATCTGACCTGATCAGTCTGACGTACCTGCCATGTGACCATTTCGATTTCTGAATTCTGTGATTCACTCACAGCGGCGACCGTACTCAATTTGTCATTGTTTAAAACATGTTTGGGTACAACGGCCTTTTCACGAGCAAAAAAACACAAATCAATATGAGCCTCGTGAACAGACATTCTGTCTTACAAGTGTGTGTGTGTGTTCCGATTCTGTTACATTGTTGGTTTTTGGTACTCCTCCATTAGTTGTGGCTATACGAAAAGTACATTCCAATGTGTTACAATGATGCCCATGTTCCGGCGTTTTCTATGGAAAGGACATAAACCTCTGGTTATTTAACAGTTTGCTATGGAAAACCATTGTTTTTGATAGGTAAATCATGATAAAGCATCCATACATACATTATGTTTGATAGATAAATCATGGTAAGTCATCTATAAATATATAGGTAATTGTCCATAGCCATTGGGGGGTAATTACCCTCAGCCAACCCATTTTTTGAAATCTCCAATCGGATTTTTTTTCATATTGCAAAAAGGGATGTACCCTCTGGTAATTTAACATAGCTATTGGAAATGGCCATTTATAGTGGATTTACCCATTAAAAATGGTGATTTTCCATAGTTATGTTAGTTTCCCAGAGGGTATATCAATGGATATCAATGATTATCAATGGATATCAATGGATATCAATGGATATCAATGGATATTGAGGTTCCCGACGAATACGGAAAGGCAGGGATGGGCCACCACCACCTCCACCGCCGCCCTGTGCGCCGGCACGGTCGCCTACGAGGCTTTGCTCCTCACCGAGGCAGCAGGGGAATGTTTGAATGTTTGAAACTTAAGCCAACATAGTGGAAACAATGGTGGTAAACAACTAAGTGTTTCCAGCAAACAGATTTGAATGGCGGTACCATGGTGGTAAAATGACCAAGTAGTGATATTTGAGACTTAAGAGCAAACATGACCAAATATGA